TGTAGACCAAGTCGAATTTTTCTGCTAATGCATGTCGTCACTCCCTGACACTGCCGATTTAAAGGACTGGCAATCGAGACTTGGTTTATTGTCATGGCAATGGTACTTGCCAAAACCGGGTACAAATAAATTTAAATGAAATTTTCAAAATTACTCATTTTTTAGTATCTATTTTGGAATCTTTACAATAAGAACTGTCAATACTTTCTTTAAATCTTACCAGCTATCTCTAATATGCCGTAGAAAATATCGTTCCCCCTTGTCAGTGATGCAGGGTGGAGGGCCTGACAAGGAAGCTGTCTAGTCGTTCGGATGGGACGAAAAACCGAGATTATGTGTACACATTGGCGTACACGTAAAAGATCCCTTGACAGTTGGAATTCGATATAAGAATAGGCCGTAGTGCCGCTGTACGGGCAAAATTTCCCTCATCGCACACTGTATGGCGTATGCCCGTCTTCATTAGCCCAGTATAGGAGCAGAACAGTAGGACGTTAAACATCATTTCATTTCATTTCATTTCCGTAGAAAATAAAACAAAAGTACGTATTGATGCTAATGCTGCTGTATTACTGTCCCCTTTGTTTTGCATTTAGCTCCTGTTCAATTTCACTGTAACGACTATAAAAATTTACAAGAAATTTGACTGCTATTAAGAGTTAAATTGTTATCTTATATTTTGGGTATCAGGAAAATAGCATAATTGACTGCTATTAAAAGTTAAATTTGTTATCGTATATTTTTGGATACCCGGAAAATATCATAATTAACACTACGATAAGATTAGAATATGACTGTAAATTTTGATGATAGTGTTCGGTTTGGAGATACATAATATTATATTTTCACAGCACTATAGAACCTGAAATCAATAGCAAAATAATATCTCATGGTTATTAAATTTGACAACGCCCCTTTAAAACATTACTGTCATGTTGATTGTATATGACAATCCGAGGGAAACTGGGTCTACTGTGCCTCCGTGACATACATTGTGAAGATTAGATTTATTAAATGTTTAGAGTTATTTTCGATGCTCGCTTTGTAAAATTTTATAAACGCTGTAATACTTTGTTAAAATGAAATTGACAGAGATTACAGTCAACTATATGGCCACAGATCACTATAACCTAGCCAACCTCTCAACTCGTGTATCCTCCCGCGTCAAAATCCTGAATATATTCACCAAAACGTGACAGAAAATGCATTTTCAAACCATTTTCTTCGATTCTACACCAAAAGTCAACAAAAATCGCCGTGCAAATGGGGGAAAGGGAGAAAAAGACAAAAATAGCATCGACGGCGTAGGAATATGGGTGACGGCGTAGGAATATGTGGTGAACTGTGTCCATATTGTTTCAGGATGTTCTATTAATATCTTCTAGAGTTATTGACCTTGCTTACATGGCAGATTCTTGTAAACACTTCAAACTCAATCAATCCACCTACCACCCACGTGAACCCATAGAACAAGACGGTATTCGTCTCATCACTGTCAATCTTATCGGCTTCATTTAAAACAGAAAGGGGGTGGGGGGTGTTGGATGGCCGAATGGTTAGCACGTGCGCGCTGTATCATAAGGTCCGTCATTGAGTCAGCTGGCGTGGTTTCGAATCCCCGGTTGTACGTGACAAGGAGGAGGGTCGCCTGTCCAACCTCGTGGGTATTCTCCGCGTCCTCCGGTTTCTCCCCACTGCTAAAAAAAACCCTACGCACAAGTGAATTTTTGAAATAAAATTAAACCATATGTTAGTCCTGAAATGAACTAGTTTATGTCGAGTGGACGTTAAACCCCCCTCTCTCTCTCTCTGTCTGTCTCTCTCTCTCTCTCTCGTCTCATACATTGATCGGCCTATATATAGCTTGTTCGTATGTTTAGGGTAGGTCTTTCTCAGAAATCAACAATTCATATAAATTTAAAGCGGTTCTAAGAAAACTACTTAGTCGATTAAACATTACAGGATGTTTGAACGTATCTGTTATTGATAGCAGGATGTGTGACGGTATATATTATTAAATATGGTGTAATGTGATATACATGATAAAACATAGATAATATATAACCACTCGACGTCAGGGTTATTGGATACAAATGAGATTTACTAAAGGTTGCATCTTTAATCAGATTGCGAGTAGATCTAGGGCTATACGGATTGTAGTTGTACAAGAATAAGTTATCTGTAGCACCATGAGCCTTCTGTCTGACGTGGAGAGCGTCTATGGGAAACCGGTCGCCACATCCTACGTATGACCCATGCATCTTTTCTTACTACATATTTCTGTAGCCTTGTGATCGTCTAGAATTTGTTTCTAGCTGTCTTTACTTCTGCTTCACGTTGTGTATTTACTTCTTCCAGTTTCTTAAGACGTTTGTCTTACCAGGAATAATAATGCATAGTTCGCTTCTACATTTTATATAGCATATAACTGAATACAGGTATACAAGCATAGCACAAATTACAATACTATATAGCTAAAACCACTTCTCCACCCTATCCAGCCTCTCGGCTGTCTAGGAACTCAGATGTACCCTCGATCTCTGGAATCTAATGCAAGTCTGACTTACAGGGTTCCCCGGTTTCTTTTAAAGGTATATAAATATCATGCACCATAAAGCGTGATCATGGCCCTGAACTTGTGTAATTAACAAAATGATTGGTTACTTTAAGCTAAATGATGCAATTAGAATAATTCCACTCACGTGTAATTCGGTGGTAAATGAGTGACATATGTTTTCGATAAATCGCTCTTTTTTATGTGTCAACTATCAATTACAGACTAAGTTGATTTAAGTATTTTAAGTACATATCACATATTATGCGAATATGTTATCTCTCGAGCAAACATTCTACTAAAAGTATTACATATCTCCGATTACAGAATTTAAAATTTTAAAATTAGTTAGATTCGATTACGGGTTCAGCTAATTGTAGGTTATATTATGGGGTTTATTCTGCATGGCCACAATAATACTCGATTTAAATCTAACGGGTCAAAGGTTAATTGAAATGAAATGGGGTTTAAAATCCTACTTTTCTGCTCCCACTGGGCTTCCAATGACGGGAAATTTTGTCCAGACAGCAGCGTCACGGCCTATATATTATTATATCGAATTTCAACTATCAAACTTTCTTTTACGTGTACGACTATATGTACATGGGACCACGGGTTTTCGTATCATCCGAAAGACTACACGTTATCCCTTGCCCGGTCCTGCGTCCAGCACCACTGACAAAAGAGTGTTGGGGAGGGGGTGTAAATGTTATCCAGGAACAGCAATCATTGATGTTCGCAATTTATTAATGCTAAAAATGGTAACTACCCTGATTGAATATATTTCTGAACATGTTTTGATTTTTCACAAAAAAAATTGTTGCCAAGCGAGATGTTCTAGAAATGGGAATTTGCGATAATTTCATGCCACAAGCCTTTTCGTCGTTGTATTTGAAAATGCAAACAAAGTTTTTTGTGCAGATTAATTCCTTTTCTTTCTTTATATTATTTGTATATATTTTTATACTTCTTTTTGTAAAATCAATATTATTTTCTATTTCAGATGTCAGCACCTCCCCCATATTCACCAAATGACTATCCCCCACCCCAGCAGGGACATCCCCCGCCTCCACAAGGATACGGACCCCCTCAACAGGGATACGGACATCCTCCACAAGGATATGGACCTCCACAAGGATATGGACCTCCGCAGGGATACGGACCACCTCCACAACAAGGTTATTATGCTCCAGGCCCACAGCACGTACGTATTGCTTAGAACATGTATATGTAACTTAACAGTTGCCAAATATTGCATGCGGATGCTGTTCCTCCGTATTTTAAGAAAATGAGATCGTGCACGAATTAATGTCTGAACTAGATCAATAAAGTATCCATAGAGTTGTTGCCCTTGCTTCGGGCGGAATACGCAAACGTTACTCATGGCGTTTCGTCATCCGAAAAAGAAAACTGTTACAAAGCCATAATGCTAATGCACGGTTCCAACTGATTTGCGATGCGTCACAATATGATTGTTCCTATTGTGTCCACGATCTGGTACGTGCAGATATGTTAGGATACGTTTCGATACGATCAATACGATTGCTACGACTGGCCTCAATATATGGTAAGACCCGATCGGATCACCACGATTACTCCACGATTAAAACCACGATTTCAATCGTAGCACGAATCGTGATAGTGTGAACCTAGCATAAAGCACGGGACACGCTTGATGTGCCTCTACGTGTGATGTCAGATGTCCATGGATATCGTTAGACTACTTCTGTTGAATACTTTTGTTGTTTTAAAACAAATACGAGCCGCATATTTAGTTTAGATGGTAGGAAATGCATTTTTAAAAGAATTCAAGCCAACTTTTTATTCATTATACGCATGTTAGTTAGTACCCATAGAAATGTGGACGTATATTGCCGTCGCCTCCGCCCGTCCGTCAACGATTTCTTGTGAATGCTCCAGCACCAAAAGTTATCATCCGATTGTTTTAAAATTGATATATTTTGTTTACATTGGTGAGATGAAGAATTATATTTAATTATGCCCCCTTGTTTCAATTTGTTGAACCTTGTGAACGCTCTACCATCAAAAGTTATCTGCCGATTGAATTAGTAAAGCGAAAAAGCCTGTGAAAGTTGTGAACCTTGTGAACCCCCAAACGACAAAAATTAAAATCTGATCTGTATGAATTTGCCTTGTAAATCTCTCCAATTACCTACAAAAGAATAAATATGCGACAACCCTTGTCGACCGCTTGGAGTGGAGAATATACGTCCACATTTCTATGGGTACTAACATGCGTATAATGAATAAAAAGTTACAACCCTTGTCGACCGCTTGGAGTGGAGAAATGCTCCTTGATGATATTCGTATGTTCTGTTTTATGTCAGCTTGTTTATTCAAAAAACATCTGATTAAAATACAGATCTATATTTCGTTTCGTTTTTTTTGTTGTACTTATGATGGCCAGCACTACAAGTTAAACAAAATTCTGAACTATAAATAACGAAACGAAATAGGATCTGTGTTTTAAACAGATTGTTCAATGTATTTTTATCTTTGTTTTTAGACTAGTTCTAGTACTAGTAATGTAGTCGTTGTTAATCAACCTGGTGCAAGCCATGTTATTGTTCAGCAGAGGTATGTATTACTTTATAATAAATATAGACAGAAATGAGGTTTGAGGTCCACATAACATAACTAGGCCATTGTGGAACCTTTTGAAATATTGTCATTCTTTTTATACTGGATATATCAAGTTGCCCTTTTTATAGTGGATATATCAAGTTGCCCTTTCTATAGTGGATATATCAAGTTGCCCTTTTTATATTGGATATGTCAAGTTGCCCTTTTTATATTGGATATATCAAATTGCCCTTTTTATATTTTTGAGTGACGATTATTGCAAGCAATAAGATCTACTTTAAGTTATATCAATTTTAACTTTACATAGGTTTCTATTGATTTCACAAGCCAGGAAGATCTTTTATACTCCTTTAAATAATCCCAACAGTTTGTAGGCCTATCTTACAATGCACCATAGTGTGACATTAGCTGTAGACAATCATGTATGGTCAACTATATTATTTAATATATACATGTTTTATTACAGACAAGGAGTAAATCATCTGTTACACTGTATTATAAGTCTCTTCTGTCCATTCTGGATCTTTGTCTGGATGATATTGGTAAGTTACGTCCCCTTGTTATCCTAATAAAGCAAGATATTCTAACGATATGGCAGTTACTAGAAGAATCAGATTTTTAGAGAGAGAGAGAAGAGAGAGAGAGAGTCCACTCGATACAAACTAGGTCATTTCGGGACTAACACATGGATCAGTTTTATTTCAATAATTCGCTTGCGGGTAGGGGTGAGTCTTTAGCAGTGGGAGGAAACAGGAGGACCCGGAGAAAACCCACGAGGTTGGACAGAAGACCCTACTCCTTGTCACGTATAACCGGGAAACGAAACCGCGCCAGTTGACTCAATATCAGACATTATGATAAAGCGCGCACGTGCTAACCATTCGGCCATCGAACCCCCTCCCCCACCACCAATAACAAGAAACTAATGTGCTTGTTACATAGCTGTGTACAAACTGTCGTACTCTCCGCATAGCTCCAGTGGGACAACTTCCGGTGTGGTAATGACACGGCTATTAGAGACTGGTGGCAGTCAGAACAACCCAAATACCAATCTGTTTCACAGAGGATTACGAAAGTCTTCTAATATCTCTGTAAAAGATGACTGTCCACAAAACGTGGCGTCACATCACGCGGGTTCAATCATTGGCTCAATGGCGCGTGCATTGTTTACATAAGACGTTACTGGTTCGGGCAGAATGGTGCCTTTTTCTCATTTTAATACCCATTTGCACTAAATAGGAAATATTTTTACCTACAAATACGTCAAACGTCTTTATTTATTTTTCTAATACATCAACAAACGTTTTAGAATTTAATTTGTTGGAGGAAAAATGTTAATATTTGGGGTTCATTAAAGATACATTATGGGAGATTCGTTAACGAGTTGGCAGTTCTCACTATAATAGTTAAAAACTAGATAACGTAAAGGCAATTTGCTGAAAATTTCATTCAAATTGATCCACTATGAACCGAAAACTAAGCGAATGAAATTTCTGCCTAGCCTCGGTCATCATTACTAAAGTCAGTACGATAAACATCATAGTCTCGATTATCTATTTAATCGTTTAATCGAGAAGGAAATTTATGCAGTAAATCGGCTCACAATCCACTTAAGATCGCAGGCTAGCGATGCCATCTAGAGTTGATTATGGTCTGGATAAGTTAATTAATGTCTAATTAATAATTTAGATAACATTTCAGGCCTAAAGAAAGACCTGCAATAGACAGATTTAGCTCTTGCATAATGTATGTTTAAGTCGCATCGATGTCATCCTAGGGAATATTTACTCCTGACCAGTGTGGCCAAATACCATAACTGTTTTTGCTGGGAGATGCTAATTGTAGGCCGGTTGGGGAGGTTCGGGAATTTCCGGAGCCCGAAATGGCCGCTTTTTATAAATGAGTATTTTGGGGAATACTAACCCGAACCCTAACCCTAACCCTTTTAAGAGTGGTAAACTTTGAATTAGATCCAAGTTCAGTCTTCTAAAAAGGGTTAGGGTTAGGATTAGGTTTAGTATTCCCAAAACATTTTATTTATATAAAGCGGCTATTTTGGATTCCGGAAACACCCGAACCGCTCCAACCGGCCTACAATACCATCTCCCGTTTTTGTTTTGTTGGGTTTTTTTTTAAATCTGAGATCAATACACAAATGAATAAAACAAAACGAAGTATCTTCTCAGCAGAAATTATATTGCTGTAGTAAATGTTTCTTATTTTTGATATTTTTCAGTGCTGTGTAGAGGGATGTTAAAGATGTTTTCAGAATCAACAGCCGACCATTTCTTATCCTACCACTCCGTTTTCAAAATAATGGAGATTTTTTTTTCTGATTTGAAAGTGAATGAAATAAATCCAAGATTTATAAAACTATTTAGCCAACCAATCAACCTTAAAATCTTAACTAATTAAATTGAAGGTTCATTTTATTATTCGAATAATCTTAGTTTTTATTATGCGATTGCTGTGCTATTCAATATTCGGTTCATTTTAAATGATATTTTTTTGCCATTTTTGGTGACTATTCAGATGTGTAATCTTTCAAACCAATATTTTCCTGTATCGTTTTACTTCTTTTCAATATTAATTCAATTTCATTGAATTGATATCAGTTAATTTCATTGAACTGATATTAATAAATATTTCCGTTAGAGACAAAAGCCTAACAATTCACACTAACGTTAACAAATACCAAATATTTAATTCGAATAGATATTTAAAGAAAAACTATTCGAAATCGAATATTCGGATATTTGTGTTATCACTGCTAATATTGTATAAATTTGCTGATAATGCCCAATCTGATTACAACACAGATCCTATTTCGTTTCTTTTTTTTATAGTTCAAAATTTCGTTTTACTTGTCTTCACAACACTAGGATCTGGAAGAGTTGTTATGTAACAGGCGTTCTAGTTAATGTGAGGGTAAACCACTAGAAACGTCAACGCTGATTGATTAATCAATGTCTGACGTCGTAGGGTCAAATCCGCTCGTATGACCCCTGACGCGACCTCCCAGTACAACGGGTCAGATCTCCATGTAGTGTTGGCCATCGAAAGTATAAAAAAACGAAACGAAATATAGATCTGTATTTTAATCAAATTGGATAAAGCCTAGATCATTTTATTTTGATTCGGCCATTTGTATTTTACCGTGGAATTTTTCATTAAAGTTTATATAAATATATAGCAAATATCTGGAACTGAATTTCAGTTTAACCAGAAAATAAATTAGCTCCATTTGAAATCCCGTTTTCATTAGCCCAGTCGGTGCAGAACAGGACGTTAGACCTTATTACATTTTACCATTTGATTCACATTCGAATGTATTCGCTCCATTGCTGAATTGCCCCATGTGCGTTTATTTACGGACTTTTACGTGGTCGTAACCGGAATCTCCAATAGCAACATTGCTTGGTGTTGACATGATGAAGAGTATGCAAACACGTTCAATAACAGCTGATTTGCGAAATTCACACAGACAGACAGTCGTAGAATTTACCCTTCCATTTACAGTTTTCTACAATGTTTACATCAAAACCACCATCTGTACAGCCAACTTGATTACTGTGTGCAGTATTAGAGGACCCCCCCCCCCCCCCACACACACACACACACACACACGCTGCTACTGTATAAGTGTTTATTAAAATATACATTAGAAAATTACTATATTCTGATTTATGCGTAAAGCTTAAAATGTCAAGGGGCGCAACTCTTGTTTGGTTGGGGCGGGGTCATTATCACTCGGCTCATTCTTTTTAATGTTACTATATTGTAATTAATATATAATGTTTTATGATATGACAAGATGGTTTATATGATCATCTTCAAACTCTTTACCCTATACAACGTTTCAAAACACTTTATTCTTATATAGGTCTGTCAGGGCCGTAACTAGTTCAGAGCAACGAGGGGGACTGGAAATATTCTCAGAGGTGCTGTAAATTTGACGGACAATGTATATCTGTTGTTTTTATGGTTGACAATTTTATGGTTGCCCCCCCCCCATACACGATACACGATGCCAAATACATGATAATTATAATACAAGAATATTGCAAAGCCTGGGACTTAATCAGTTAGAGATGCTAATCAAAATGTATTGAACATTTGTTATGATTTAAATCCGACTTGCATAGACTCTTTGTCACTTTAACAAAAATAAATTTTAGTAAATAAACAGAATCTTGGATGTGTCCACTTGACACAAACTAGGTCATTTCGGGACTAACATAACGTGGGGGTCTTTAGCAGTGGGAGGAAACCGGAGGACCCGAGAAAAACCACAAGGTTGGACAGGCGATCCTACTCCTTCTCACGTTCAACCGAGGAATCAAACCACACCAATTGACTCCATGACAAACCCACCTAATCTTAAATAGAATGACGATGATAATATAGCCAAAATGAAATCTAAACTTTTCACTGAGTAATGTTTTCATATGTATTTTAGATATTTAGGAAATGTTTTCTTACATATTTTGCATAAATAAAGTTATCGTATGTATTTTACTTAAGCACAGTTTTCATATGTAATATTGTAATATATTTGACATAAGTAATGTTTTTTTTTGTGAGAGAGTGAGAGAGAGAGAAATGGGGTTTAACGTCCACTCGTCACAAACTAGGTCATTCCGGGACTAACACATAGTTCAATTTTATTTTAATAATTCGCTTGCACGTAGGGGTCTTTTAGCAGTGGGAGGAAACCGGAGAACCCGGAGAAAACCTACTCCTTGTCACGTACCACCAGAGAATCGAAATCATGCCAACTGACTCAATGACAGACCTTATGATACAGCGCGCACGTGCTGTAATTTTGTTACAGTTTTTTTTTCCATAAGTAACGGTTTCATGTGTAATTTACAATTGTTACGGGAATTTTGTGTAAGTGATATTGTTAATACTGTTTGTTAGTTATATATGACATCCATGGAAACATAGTAAAACATATCGCTCATGTTTACTTAGAAATGTTATTATAATATTCAAGTAATTTTAATTAAATCGATTTTATTTTTCATAAAAGATATATCAGTATAATTTGTCAATATTGTTTTTTTTTTATAATTGAATAAAGGAATCGACACGTTTATAAAAAAATTTATATAATGCTTATTAAATTTTTATATTAATATACATATGTTTGTCGATTGTTTTGTTTACCGACTTTGACGGGCGTCATTTTAAAATCTCTATTACACCAGGGGCCTGTTTCACGAAATTTTAACTAAGATAAAATCCAAATTTTAGTTATTTGATTGGATAATATTAGATTGATTTTAGTGCTAAGCCAATCAAAATCGAAGTATCTACTAAAATTTGGATTTTATCTTTAGTTAAAATTTCGTGAAACATGACCCAGGTACCACTGTAATCTCTATGGTAACGAGTATGATGGATGCCATTGTTATGATACTGACTATGGTGTGCAGGTGTATGCCATTGTTAATCTCTGTGATACTGACTAGCTAGGACAGGACAGGTAACATTGTTAATCTCTATGATACAGACTAAGACAGGTAACATTGTTAATCTCTGTGATACAGACTAGGACAGGTACATCACTAATCTCTATGATACTGACTAGCACAGGTAACATCATTAATCTCTGTGATACTGACTAGCACAGGTAACATTGTTAATCTATGTCATACTGGTTATGATAGACAATGGCGGGAACTTTCATCATACCTGGCTAAATTAGCTGTGGTACATTTAACATTAAAACACAGATCCTATTTCTTTTCGTTTTTATAGTTCAAAATTTTGTTTTACCTGTCTTTACTACACTAGTTGTTATATAACCCGCGTTCTGTATGATGTGAGGGTTTAGTCAATGAAACGGTATGTTGCGGCGAGTTCTTGGCGTGTGGTGCACGGAAATGTGGGTATCCCAATAGAACATCAACGCTGATTGGTTAATCAACTGACTGACGTCATAGTGTCAACGCTGCTCGTATGACCCCGGAAACGACCTTCCACTACAAATGGGCAGATTTTCCTGTAGTAGAGGCTTGTCTACGATATCACCTTAGGTGGAAGTGGACGTAAAACCCCAGAAACGAACGAACGAATGTAGTAGAGGCCATCGGAAGTAAAAAAAAACGAAATATAGATCTGTATTTTAATCAGACCCCCACCACTCGAATTAATATTGCACGTACTTAAAAAATCCATTTGTTGTTTTTGTTTTTGGGGGTTGTTTTTTTTTTGGGGGGGGGGGGGTATTTTGTTGTTTTTGGGGGGTTTTTTTGCACCGGCGTTGGTTAAAGATACATTATCTAAGATTTAGATAAAGACTCGGCATTTCTTGTATTATTTTGAGCGGAGTTCAAGGAATAATATAGATGCTGAAATAACGTTAATAGTCCCGATTGTCAAGTAACATTGCTATACGACAATAATGATAATAATAATGAGATTAGTTTTTGATACTCCACGCTGAAATCTGGTGGTTTATTACCGTCACCCTGTCCATTATTCTGCCTGTCCATAGATACACAATTCCTTTTGGGTCTTCGTCCGGCAAAAATTATTGTCGGATCTTTTTCTCATTCCTATGCATTGTTTGTAGTATTAAGAATATGCCTATTGGATGTCTGGGGGTGGATGGCTGAATGGTTAGCACGTGCGCGCTGTATCATAAGGTCTGTCACTGAGTCAACTGGCGTGGTTTCGAATCCCCGGTTGTACGTGACAAGGAGTAGGGTCGCCTGTCCAACCTCGTGGGTTTTCTCCGAGTCCTCCGGTTTCCTCTCACTGCTAAAGACCCCTACGCGCAAGCGAATTATTGAAATAAAATTAAACAATATGTTAGTCCCGAAATGACCTAATTTGTGTCGAGTGGACGTTAAACCCCATTTCTCTCACTCTCTCTCTCTTTTTCAGATAATTAACTTCAGAGTTATTGTCCTTTGTGACTTTCAATGTTCCTTTAGTCTCACTATCGGCTAAATGAATTATACAATCCGATTAAAGATACATTATGTTAGATTTAAATAAAAAAAAACCTAACCATTCTTGTTATAATATAATACCTCAAAATAGATAATGTAAAATGAAAATATTTAAAATTTCATTCAAATTACTTCATTCTGAAGCCAAGTTATTGCTGTTTGTAGTTTGGACAAGATGTGTGCATGGTGGTAACCAGGATACTGGTATATTCGAACTAAGCCTCACTTTCCCATTTTTAAATTAAATTTTAGTTAAAATCTCGAGTATCCGATGCCATCTAGAGTTGATTATAGTCTTGTAATGTTTTATGTTAATGTCTAATTAATAATTTAGATAACATTTCAGACCTAAAGAAAGACCTGCAATAGGCAGATTTAGTATGTTTAATATTGCACAATTAACACTTTCCGCTTAATCTATATATATCATGTTAGATTGCTTCATCGTTGTCCAGCAATCTATCTTTGTAATGAAATGAAATGAAATGAAATGGAGTTTAACGTCCTACTGTTCAGCTCCTAACCTGGGTTAATGAAGACGGGCATACGCCATACAGTGTGCTATGAGGGAAATTTTGCCCGGACAGCGGCACTAGTGCCTACTCTTATATCGAATTCCAACTGCCAAGGGATCTTTTACGTGCACGCCAATGTGTACACGGGACCTCGGTTTTTCGTCCCATCCGAACGACTAGACAGCTGTCCTTGTCAGCCCCTCCGTCCTGCATCACTGACAAGGGAGAACCACGCCGGAAAATCGGGATGGACACTATCTTTGTAAATAACGACCCAAACGTGTGAGGAAGGTACCGGAGGGAGGGGGGGGTGTTATCAAATAATTGAAACTAATCTCATGGTGACGTTTGTTATCGGGTGTTATCATATGATATCTATATCATCACATCGTGATCGCTTGCGAAATACACAGACGTCAAGTCCAGCGAAAATTACAAATTTCTAAATATATTCATGGGTCAAAGTTCAGCGAATATTGAGCAACATCTATTCTGTATATTGATCACTGACACCCCCCGATAAAACAGTGTGGGTTGAGTTTCGTAGAGTCATCAAAGTCGTATAGTTAATATTCTTTTTAAAACATGGATCCAAAGGTAAGTAGATGTAATCCTATTTTTGGTATTTTTTTGTATTTGGATATTAAAGTTCGCGTCCATTTAAGACATATATTTTCCAGTTAACCAATAATTTCCAATGGATTTAAAAGTGAAACGTGTGCACCAGATCACGCGGATTTCACACTACAATCCATCTCGTCGGCTACTTGACAATATTTTAGTTTTCTGATGAGCAGGAGGCGGGATTGTGCTTAGAAACACTCATGTGTAAGGAAGCAATTCGAACAATAATAATAATAACTCAAGAAATATGTAAATACCAAATACATGCCAAGTATAATGTCAAATTAAATGCCTTGAGTATAGAAATAGAAAGTTAGAAAATAAATTGCATTCTCCATAGAACCTTCGGGGGGGGGGGCGAATGGTTAACGCGTGCGCGTTTCATCACACGGTCTGTCATTGAGTCAAGTGGCGTGGCTTGTACGTGACGAGGAGTAGGGCCGCCAGTCCAATCTCGTGGGTTTTCTCCCCTTTCCACCCACTGCTAAAGACCCCTAAGCGTAAGCGAATTATTGAAATAAAATTGAACCATATGTTAGTCCCAATATGACCTAGTTTGTGCCGAGTCGAATGGTAATTCATGTGCCCTCTTCTATCCACTGTGAATAAGGTAAACAAATCTGTCCTTATCCGATCCCCAAACGGTGTGTTCCCACTTAGCCGGCAGACTGTTAATCCTTTGATTGATCTTAAAACTATAGTCTGTTTAAAAGTAGTCACTCAAGAACTGTTCACTAGTGTTCAGCGTTAATGAGCTCTTAATCCCTCTTACAAGTTCATTAACTTAATAAAACAAGAACAATCCTATGTCGAAATCACCATTTCACAGATATTATTTGGTGGTACCAAAAGGCCTCGAGTTAAGAAATATCGACAACTTGGTACAAGAATTGAACATTTGAAAACACAGTTATTAAATGGCTCTTTAAGTGTAAATCGGTATGGAACAAATATTTCCTATTTAGTGGGGCTGTAAAATGATTGTTATGTTGTAAGGCAGTTAATTTATAAATTAAATAATGCTATTTAATAAAAGTTAAATGTGTAAATTGTAATGCATTTTTATATGTGTAAATCATTTAATGTTATTTAATAAATATTAAATTTGTTAAAATCAATATATTTTTATATGTGTAAGCTATTTAATGTTATTTAATAAAAGTTAAATTTGTTAAAATCAATACAGTTTTAGTCTTAAAAAAGATATGGACTATAGTTTATAACACCATTGTTCTAGGATTAACTCTGGATTAGCGGCAAAATTTGACATCAAAGCCTGTCGGCTAAGTGAGAACACCCCCCCCCCCCCCCAAACTGATCCCACGTCTTTGTTTTATTTCAAACAATTAGTTTTGATTGGATTGTTTTTAAGTTGTTCCCAAAATGTCTTAATCCGATGTAACAGTTTGACTTGGAATTCTGACAAATTATTCAAGTGTGACCAATATTAAGAGTTCATAAAATACTTAAGGGCACTAGGCATTAAAATAATATTTTTTACGATATCTTGTAGTAAACTACATTAGGGACATGGCATAATATCTCAACAGATTTTAAAGGACAATATTGGTGTCTTTTGGTTTCCGAAGGAATTATTAGTGAGCAGAAATTCGCCCATGTATCTGTTATCACTCGTCTCTTTAGTTAGTTATATAGAAGGATAACTCGTGTTTTGCTTTTGCGTTCGTCACTTCCTTTCTCCAAAGCTTCATAACGCATCTCCCGTAGCAATGATCTGTGTGTTAAAATTATATCTGGAACGCGTTTAACCGGTTCTGTCACATATGTGATAATGACTGATACCAATATTGTCCTTTAAGTAGACTGCCAGTTCATATGGACAATGATTTCGCATTGTAATGTAATTTAACCCGAAGTGTTATCTTCAAGTGATAACATATTGAAGTATTTTATATTATGGAGGTCAGATACGCCCCCCTTACCAGTATTCTGATTCATGTCGATATACATGGGATCTTTTAAAACAATGAGGGAATGGGCAACAGGTAGAGCCACGGTCCTTCAATTAGTAAGGCACTGAATCACTAACCATTCCGATGTTGGCAGTGGTTCCGTGGCTAAGTGAGTAAGACGCTGGCTCGCTAGCCTGGAGGTCGGGTATTCGATCCCTTCATTGGCCGAGAAAGTTCATCCCGATTTTCCGGCGTGGTTCCACCTTTACTTGTCAATGATGCAGGATGGAGGGCCTGACAAGGACAGTTGTCTAGTCGTTCGGACAGGACGAAAAACTGAGGTCCCGTGTACACATTGGTGTGCACGTAAAAGATCCCTTGACAGTTGGAATTCGATATAAGAGTAGGCCGTAGTTCCGCGGCCCGGGCAAAATTTCCCTCATAGCACACTATGGTGTATGCCCGTCATCATTATGCCGATTGGGGTGGACTTTAACCCCGAGTTCTTTTCATTTCCTACGTAACATCCGTCAATAATTGGTGCATTGTTATACACTTTAAAATAAAAGCTATTCTTACCCAAAAAATCTAGACAACGCGTGCATGATACCTTGATACTATCCAAGAACATCAACCACCTGGTAACAGAGACATATGCATTCCAAGAACCACCACCCTGGCAAAATCCTATCTCGAAATCTGTGTCCCATCCACCTTAATCTATTTTCACGAATGTAAAACGAGTTTCCGATCCTTCTGGACGCGTAAACACACTTTCTTTGCCAGGCTCACAGATGGGACCTCTGGCGAGTCAACACCGGAATTCAAACCGGGGACATTCTGTCCGAGAATCTTTGCCGCTCATTTGCCACGCCTCGAAAAAACATGATATATCTGTTATCCAAATGCAAACATATTTTTTTAATACTAAGGAAATTGAATTAATATTCATAAGAATCTTTCTCTTTTTTTGTCTATTACAGTTTCAAGGTCAAGGTCAAGGTTACCCCCCTCCTCCAGCAGGAGCTTACCCACCTCCTCAGAATCAATATGGAGGTCCTCCACCGGGGTATGGCTATGACCAGCAGGTAAGTAAATTATAAAATGCATATTATTATCAACTATTATACCGTTCAGACGCTTATTTTCAAACCAGTTCAAAATCGCTGGGTTTTTTTTAAGACAGGATAGTGATGCGTTCAAAAATACTATTATCCAAGCCAATTTAACTATTCTGAATTCTTCGGTCGAAGGTTAGTTTAACTACGCATGGGTAGCTTCATATTCTTTATTTGGTTCTGGCACGCTTTCGATAACACTGGCACTGCATGACGCCGATATTTTCCCAGGAATGTAACTTACTGCGTACTGTGCATGCTCGAGGAGAGCTGGGGCTGGGATTTTTAAAACAACCCTTTCAGACGGCCCAGATGCACAGGTTTAAAATAAAAAACCTTCTCGAAGACAGATCGCGAGCTGGTGTTTTTAAACTGGTTTATTTGCCCCATATTTGCGTTCAGACGCTTAAATTAAACTGGTTTAACGATCCCCGGGGTTTTTAAACCAGTTAAACTTAAGCGTCTGAATGGGCTATATGTGACCTGCTGTGATATAATGATCACCCAAACGATGACAAGTATTATATGTTACAGAAGCATTATAGCTTTGGGTGTGCAGGAAGGGGGGGGGGGGGGTGATGGCCAAATGGTTAGCTCGCGCGCGTTGTATCATATGGTATGTCATTGAGTCAACGGGCGTGGTTTCGATTACCCAGTTGTACGTGACAAGAAGTATCATCGCCTGTCCAACCTCGTAGCTTTTCTCCGGGGTTCCTCCGGTTTCCACCCACTAGTAAAGACCCCTACGCGCATGCAAAATTATGAAATAAAATTGAACCATATTTTAGTCCCGAAATGACCTGGTTTGTGTCGAGTGGACGTTAGATTTGAATCTGATTAATTAATCCATCGCTGAGATTGTCATTTCAAGTCGTGTATTCACTTAACCTGAGATATTGCAATCTGTTTCACAGAGAATTACGAGTCCTCTAATATCTCTGTAAAAGATGACTGCCTTTAACACGTGTCGTCACAGCACGCGGCGTCAATTATTGGCTGAATGGCGCGTGCATTGTTTACATAAGACGTTACTGCTTCGGGCAGAATGCTGCCTTTTAGTCATTTTAATACCCATTTACACTAAATAGGAAATAATTTTAACTTACGTCAAACGTCTTTATTTATTTTTCTAATACACCCCCAAAAAATGTTTTAAAATTTAATTTGTCGGTGGAAAGAAGTTAATATTTGAGACTTATTAAGTCGCATTGATGTCATCCTTATCAGTGATTGTAGCGGCCTAGCGAATATTCACCGCTGTTCATTGTGATGATGTTGATATTATATTCAATATGCCGCACCACATATCACGATTTGCAGGACAACGCTTGTACGAGAGACAACAGATAGGGTAAGCCGTAAGGGGCTATTCAGTCATATGAATGTATCCTAGATAGGCTGAACGCCTTCACTGCTCTGTGGAGTTCTATAGCTGTTTGGGTTTTGTGACGGTATATTTTAAAATATAGTACTGTCGATTTCAATCACTCGGCTCAACTCTCTAATTAAACATACATTATGCAAGAGATAAATCTGTCTATTGCAAGTCTTTCTTTAGGCCTGAAATGTTATCTAAATTATTATTTAGACATTAATTAACTTATCCAGACCATAATCAACTCTCGATGTCATCGCTAGCCTGCGATATTTACTGGATTCTAATTCGATCCGATGCTCAACGCTCATTGATGATTAAATCACAAAGTGGATAATCGAGACTAAGTTTTTTTTTTATCGTACCGACTTTAGTAATGATGATCGAGGCTAGGCTTAAAAATTCAGTCGCTGAATTCTCGGTTCAGAGTGGATCAATTTGACGGAAATTCTCAGCAAATTCCCTTTACATTATCAAGTTTTTAACTATTATAGGAAGAACTGCCAACTCTTTATCTAATCTCCCATATTGTAGCTTTAACTATCTATCTTAAATTAATTTGACTTTATATTTCAGCATTCCGGCGTGGTTCCCCCTTGTCAGTGATGCAGGACGGAGGGCCTGACAAGGACAGCTGTCTAGTCCTTCGGATGAGACGAAAAACCGAGGTCCCGTGTATACATTGGAATGCACGTAAAAGATCCCTTGGCAGTTGGAATTCGATATAAGAGTAGGCGATAGTGCCGCTGCCCGGGCAAAATTTCCCTCATAGCACACTGTATGGCGTATGCCCGTCTTCATTAGCCCAGGTTAGGAGCAGAACAGTAGGACGTTAAACCCCATTTCATTTCATTTCATTTATATTTCAGCAATTAACCTATGCCAGTGATGTAGTTGTCATAAGTCAACAAACAAACAATAATTGTTCAAAGATTAATATTTGTATTCAATTCTTCTCTAACTTTATATTACAGCATGGACACCATGGTGGTAGTAATGTGGTTGTAGTTGGTCAGCCAAGTCATCAACATACAGTTATTGTAGAGAGGTTAATATTATAGTTTACTACAGCATTACCAAGATCAACAGCTATATCGATTTGTTAGGGCTAGCTCAATTTTTGTCAAGGTCGCTGAGATGTAAATAAGGTTAGGGCACGTGATTGTTGGCGAAATTGTAGGTTAGGTTTAAGAATTTGGGGGAAAGGTTGAGTCTCCACATAAGCACTGACCCAGGAGGATGAAAATTTAGTTCATAATTTAATCATGAAATGGATGATCGAGCCTGTTTTTTTTATCGTACAGACTTTAGTAATGATGATCGAGACTAGGCCAAAATTTCAATTTCTTAATTCTCGGTTCAGAGTGGATCAATTTGACTGAAATTTTCAGCAAATTGCCTTTACATTATCTAGTTTTTAACTATTATAGTGAGAACTGTCAGCTCTTTATCTGATCTCCCATAATGTATCTTTAAAGACATTTTATTTATTTCTATAACGTCTACTGTAAAATTTATATTTTATCTTTTTTACAGACAGGGAGTAAACCATGTGCTACATTTTTGTATCAGTCTGTTTTTCTGGCCCTGGGTTATCGTTTGGATCGTACTGGTGAGTGGTACCATCATTACCTAAGTACACGATATATTTCTGATATACGTCAATCACGGTACATTGGACAAAATAGCTGTCACTTGTAACTGTCTGGGGGGGGGGGGTGGCTGAATGGTTAGCGTGCGCGCGCTGTATCATAAAGTCTGTCATTGAGTCGACTGGCGTGGTTTCGAATCCCCGGTTGTACGTGGCAAGGAGTAGGGCCGCCTGTCCAACCTCGTGGGTTTTCTCCGGGTCCTCCGGTTTCTTCCCACTGCTAAAGACCCCTACGCGCAAGCGAATTATGTAAATAAAATTAAACCATATGTTAGACCCGAAATGACCTAGTTTGTGTCGAGTGGACGTAAACCCCATTTCTCTCTCTCTCTCACCATTACTGTAACAAATTTTCTTTATTTTTTTCCAGTGTATTACTGACAACCCTTAGTTAAAGAAAAAACGTAGAAATTGAAGAAAGTTTGAAATACTTGTGATTTAAAGCGAATTCAGCATCACTCAATATAATATTTGGTCAACTTGGTTCTCAGATATTTTTGTAGATTTTTCTTGCTTTACAAAAGTGAATAAGGATAAAACTAAAGGCCCATTAGAGTTAGTTCGTTATTTTTTTTATGGCCGCAATTTTTATGTGTCCAGACAAATTGTAAAAGACCCGAGCACTTAATATTCTAATGAAGATAACAGCCAACAACTACAAAATGACCCACTGCACCGGTTTGCAACACACCACAGTTACATAGTTCCATTTAAATATTTCACAGCAGCAGAAAATTATATATAACTTAAATGAATAGACGATATGGTGGCGCCTTTTAAACATGCATTATGGAAGATTAGATAAAAAGATGGCAGTTCTCACTATAATAGTTAAAATCTATATGATGTAATGGGAATATGCTGAAAATTTTAGTCAAATCGATCCACTCTTAGTCGAGAAAACCTTATTTTAACATCACTATAGCCTAGATTGTCATTGTTACCGCGGTCGCGATAATTAATAAAATTTTCGATTATCCAGTTTTGTGTTTAATCATCAACGGTCGTTGATCAGCAGATCGGATTCAAATCCATAGAAAATCGGATACATATAAGACGTCATCCAGAGTTGATTATGGTCTTTCCATGTTAACAAATGTCTAATTAATAGTTTCTATAACATTTCAGACCTAGACAAAGACTTGCAGTAGGTAGATTTATCTCTTGCATAATGTATGTTTAACTCATTGCTCGTGCACCATATTAAGTATGTTTTAGTCCATATGTTTATGAATTCACTGTTGAATTGAACAAACAACATGCTTAAACCTTTAAAATACTGAAATAATTTCAAAAAGAGAAAAAATGTAAAATAAGTAATTTATTATGTACAAATCTTTATTTGTTTTATTTATCTTGAATTATATAAATAATTTTTATATTTTGCTTTCATGAATTACATATTTTAAGGAGTTTTCAATATGGTCGATCTAAATTATAGCTAGACAAATAAAGGGTGGAGGGGCGGTAGATAATTTGCCAAAAATACAGACTAGAGGGAGGGGGGGTCCGTGGTGGCTCAGTGAGTAAGACGTTGGCTCGCTAACCTGAAGGTTCCGTGTTGGCCGAGAAAGTTCCTCGGAATTCGGGCGTGGCTCCTCCGTGTCAGTGGTACAAGACAGAGGGTCTGGCAGAGGACGACGTATAGTCGTTCGGATGAGACGGAAATCTGAGGAACCGTGTAAACATTAGTATGCACGTAAAAGATCCCTTGGCAATTGGAATTCGATATAACAGTAGGCTGTAGCGTCACTGTCCCGGCAATCGTGTTGTTCGTATCGAAACGTATCTCCGTGTACCAGATCGTGGACTCAATAGGGACAACCCTATCGCCCGACAGTGGGAACCTGCCAATAATTCTTACCTGTGCGTCATCCTGTACAAAGCTTTGGAAAATCAAAGTGGCCAGTGAAACATGTCTGATTACATGACTTGTATGTTCACTGATAATATCATTAATAAGGTAGGATTATAAAGAGTCACCGTTACCATAGTAATAATCGTATATTTAACGTGACCAATTAGTACGATATTAGCCAGATTTTGAGTGAAGTTTTAGGTCGGAGATTCTGATGATTGAGTACCTGTTTAAATAATGTGGTGAGAGATTGGGGTAGGGGTCATTACCAGTGGGAGGAAACCGGAAGCACCGGAGAAAACCCACGAGGTTGGACATGACTGAGAGGAGGGGGGGGGGTTAACATGTGTCATTTTGGGACTAACATGGTAAAACAGATCGGTGTTGGCCGAGAAAGTTCATTGGGATTTTCCGACGGTGTTTCCCCTTGTCAGTGGTGCCGGACAGCTGTCTAGGCGTTCGGGTTGTACATATTCGGGTGCACGTTGAAAATCAATATAAGAGTATATGCCGTAGCGCCGCTGTCCGGGCAAAATTTCCCTCATAGCACACTGTATGGCGTATGCTCGTATTCATGAGCCCAGTCGGAGCAGAACAGTAGGACATTAAACCTCGTGTCATTTCATTTTGGTAAACCAGAGGACCCGGTGTAAACCCACAAGGTTAGACATGCCACCATAAACAATACTTCACGTTATGGATCGATACCACGCCACGTGCCTCAATGACAGACCTTATGATCTAGTTGGACCATCATTACATATACAGGTGACATTTCTATGGAATACAATTACGTCACTCAGTAATAAGCAGTAATTGTATTCCATAGAAATGTCACCTGTATATTCCAGTTCAATTACTAAATGTCATTAAAACAATTCATCATTACATATATTAACACAAGGTCTTACTAATGATAAACGCCATTGAATTATTATGAAAAACAAATTTTATTTGCATATTTTAGATAAAAAATAAAATATATGCAAGGCGGTGGGATAATAATATAAAAATATTGCTTGTTATAATTATAAATACTGAAGCTTTATTTTCACAGACACAACAATAAAAAGAGTATACCGTAGTGTCGCTGTCCGGGCAAAATTTCCATCATAGCACCCTGTATGGCGTATGCCCGTCTTCGTTAAACCCCATTTCATTTCATTTAATTTATAAAAATGGTATTAATGGGGGGGGGGGTAACTATTGGACGGGCATGTGTAAAATATGAACAATGTATCCAAAAAAATACTTACTGGTAATGATATCCGAAATAATAATAAACAAAAACTAAACAATATAAAAGCTGTTCAAAGAAAATAACAATAAAAACTAAAGATGTATATTTATATCACCCTTTGACATGAAATTATGCCATCATTATGTCAGCCATTTTGTACAATTACAATCTGATTAAAAGACAGATTCTATTTTTTTTTTATAGTTCAAAATTTCGTTTTACTTGTCTTTACTACACTAGGATATGGAAGAGTTGTTATATAACATGCATTCTGGATGATGTGAGGGATTAGCTAATGAAACGGTCTGTTACGGCAAGTGATTGGTTAATCAAATTTCTGACGTCATGGGGTCAAAAGCCGTTCGTATGACCCTGACGCGACCTTTCAGTACAATCGGCCAGACCTTCATGTAGTGTAAGCTATCGAAAGTATAAAAAAACGAAACCAAATATGGATCTGAATATTAATGAGATTGGTATAAATATGATTATTGTAGGAAACATGTATTTTCAAGGCGCAATAAATAATACAAATATGATATGGACATGAAAAACAAATTAGAAAGAAGGCTTGGTGAGATATTGTAATGAATGGCATATCTTGTCATGAAATAGTTCAGTTTATGCTCTACCTGATGTACTTGTGATGATATAGGAGTAACTGTAATCCACTGTGGTTAGATCTGTTTAATAAGGCCAACTTCAAGCTTGGTCAAAGGTCACGAGATGTAAACAGGGCTAGCGCCAACCCCAACCCTAACCCTGGACCTAGCCCCAATGCTTAACCTACAATCTCGAAAACAATCACGTGCCTTAACCTTATTTACATCTCAGCGACCTGTGACAGTCTTTCTCAACGTACGCAGCTACAGCCAAGTGTTTTCTCGTTTACGAAGGGTACCAATTTAACCCAGTGACTGGGGCTTAATCTATTTGTTAAGGTCGGCTCAAGTTTTGTCAAGGTCGCTGAGATGTAAATAAGGTTAGGACATTATACTGTGTATTCACTCAATAAAAAATATGCAAGCCATAAACATTTCAACAGTAGACAGTGTCCATCAATAAAATATGAAAGTCATGAACATTTCAACAGTAGAGAGTTTCCATCAATAAAATATAAAAGTCATGAACATTTCAACAGTAGAGAGTTTCCATCAATAAAATATAAAAGTCATAAACAATTCAACAGTGTCCATCAATAAAATATGAAAGTCATGAACATTTCAACAGTAGACAGTGTCCATCAATAAAATATGAAAGCCATAAACATTTCAAAAGTTCAACAGTGTCCATCAATAAAATATGAAAGTCATGAACAGTTCAACAGTGTCCATCAATAAAATATGAAAGCCATGGACATTTTAACAGTGTCCATCAATAAAATATGAAAGCCATGGACATTTTAACAGTAAATTATCAAATATATACCCGTAATTATGTTCATGATGTAAATATCATGTTGTTTTATACTTTAGTATTTCTCCATAATAAAAATAATGATTGAGTTTATTACCCGTAGTCATTTTAATTGTAGTTTAATAGATTTTTTAAGTTTCATAAACTGTTTATAACAACCCCCTTGTATAATATTAAAATTATTTGTTGTAAATTCGCCCGGGTAATGAGAGAAACTGGGCTCGCGATGACTATGTACCAGACAACGAAATTGTAACTCCCTAACACCGATGGGGAAGACGGCGGCACCACTGGACCCCTGGCAAGTTGGGGCCGTGTGGCAAATAATTGGTTTACCCTCAGAAGTTTTATGAATATATGGGCGAAAGTTTCCAAATGATACCCTCTTCTCTTTACCGTGTGGGTGGGAAACTACGAAACATGGGATGGGGCGACTTTCGTCATAAGCACCCAATTGTTCATATCTATTAAAGACAGACCGAATGTAATCAGGAATCAAATTGTAGTCTGGACATTTGATATATTTTTTATTATTCGTCTTACAGAGCTCTGCATCAAAAGTTTTCTTTTCCCCTCGAGAAAATGTAACTTGACAACGAGCGCTTTTCAAATCAATATCCGTTAACTCGTCATTGTCGTCAAGCAATTCCAAGAAGTAGCGATCTACCACTTTTATGACATAAGCATCAAAATCAAATGTCTTCTCCATGTAAAAAAGCTGCGTTTTCGCAATAAAGTCGCTAACCTCACAAATCTCCAATTCCGAAAGAAATTCTTCGATTTGTGTAGTCATTTCGAATGTAGATATACTGATATCTTGGTCTGTATCTTCGGAAACTAAAGCTGTCCATTTAGTTTCCAAAATGCCTTCTCTGTCGTTTCTGTCATATTGGAATCGTATTTTACATGATTTAATCTGATGTGACGAATTTATAACATGATGGTTGGTACAAAGATAAAACTGATTCCAGAATTTTATGACAAAGCCTGTCCCGCAGTGATCCCCTAGTTCGTTATGCTGAAGAAGTTCGATATGCACGGTTCTCTTTCCCACCAGTTTAATGAAATTAAGCATATTTGTATTCCGGATCTGTTCGGGAATATCCGTCATGGTAAGGCTAGAGAAGTTAAAAAATAGACCGTGGCCTGGGTTTTTCGTACATGATTCCTCTGTGCCACATCGGAGTGCTTCCCGAAAAGAGCTTCGTTGTGTTTCGGTTAATACACTGCTTGCTGACATATTAAGGGAACTGGTTAATGTCGCTTCGTCACGTTTTGATCTGAAAAAAAAATTCAAGTATACAAATTAAACCCCAAGATGTGACAAATGAACGCTAAAAGTGTTGTCTGAAAATTCCCGCTCGAAATACAAAGCAAGAAAAATGTAAATTATTTTTCAGCCAGTTTGATAGATTGATTTAAAGATACAGTATGCGTTATTAGATAAAGAGCTGACAGTTCTCGCTATAAAAGTTAAAAACTAGATAATGTAAAGGGAATTTGGTGAAGATTTCAGTCAAATTGATCAACCCTGAACCTAGTATTTAGTGATTCAATTTTGGGCCTAGCCTCGATCATCATTACTATAGTCGGTACGATAAAAGACATAGTCTCGATTATCCATTTTTTTTATTTAATCAGCAGCAGCAGGCCGGGCTCTAATCCAGTAAATATCGCAGGTTAGCGACGACATCAAGAGTTGATTATGGTCTGGATAAGTTAATTAATGTCTAATCAATAATTTAGATAAGATTTCAGGCCTAAAGAAAGACCTGCAATAGACAGATTTAGCTCTTGGATAATATATGTTTAAATGGCGAACTGTTCTAATCAAGATAAAATCTCGAGTTTCCGATGCCATCGAGAGTTGATTATGTTCTTGTTTTGTTAATTAATGTCTAATTAATAGTTTATGTAACATTTCAGGCCTACAGAAAGACCTGCAATAGGCAGATTTAGCTCTTGAATGATGTTTAAGTTGTTTATAAGCTGAGATATTGGTAGACATAGGGGTTAGCCTAGCGAAAAAATGATTCAAGATGACAGCCATAATAAAATTTAAAACTCTTTTTTATTAAAGATGCATTCCCACAAAATTACTTATCGACTTGCAATTTTGGTATCGAACTAGAGAAAAATACCGGATTCCCTGAAATACGCCCATGGAGCGCGCACAGGATTAGAGACAGATTCTGAGACTAAACTATGGAAAAAGAAGTGGGCAGGGGATAATCCTTAAATAGATTTTTGTATAGCTTTGGGTATTTCCTCACGAATACAATGTTTTGGGAGGGATTGGAATCGAATTTTTGAATATATTCATTATAAATGGCACTCGAAAGCATTCTGGCGCGCAATTCGTGCGTCAATTTTAAAATTTTCACAGTGTTTTAAATATTAGAAGCCCATCTTTTCAAGGTAAGACAACAACATCAATACTGAATTAAATTGGCCAATTGGGTGATATTGAGTTAAAAAAAAAACTTGCCTCCTTTAATAAAATAAATTGCAATACACTATGATAGAATTATATTTGGAATACATTTAACCAGTTCTATCACATAATATTGGCTGACACCAACGTCCTTTAAATTGTTACAACTATGGATACGGCAAACGCACCTTGCGCGTTACTGAAATTGAAAATGAAATGAAATAAAATGAAATGGGGTTTAACGTCCTACTGTTTTGCTCCGAACTGGGCTAATGAAGACGGGCATACGCCATACAGTGTGCTATGAGGGAAATTTTGCCCGGACAGCGGCACTACGGCCTACTCTTATATCGAATTCCAACTGTCAAGGAATTTATACGTGCACGCCAATGTGTACACGGGACCTCGGTTTTTCGTCTCATCCTTGCCAGGCCCTCCGTCCTGCATGTTACTGAAATTAATTTATAGGAATCCTTATTGATACGAGAGACACCAAAATACTAGACATATTTACACCATGTTTAACTTGTATTCTTAGAATGGCATTTAGCGACTGAACATTATATAACACACCACAGTTCTATGGATAACAATCAAGCATACAAATTTACATATGAGAAAAATGTGAAAGGTGCCTCCAACAATAATAACAGACAATTATGACACCCTGGCTTAATTGTTTACTCAGTGCATAGGCGTAGGAGCTCAAAGTAATTCAGGGGGGGGGGGCATAAGAGAAAATTGCCCGAAATCAATACCGTTTTTTCGGGCATACCTATCATAAGAGAGCTTCGGGCATATTTTCGGGCATGCAGTGGACAAGAAAAAGACGAGAAAATACTTTTCGGGCAGTGTGGATCTCATAGAAATAAGTTAGTTATATTTTTTCTCCAAACATTAATAGAAAAAAAAGGTCGTCGAATTTTTCATTGCCCGAAAATAAATTTTGCCCACCCCCGGCTCCTACGCCTATGACTCAGTTTGAGTATAATGATAACACATTATATATCACACTGATCATTTCGCTAGGCCTCTACAATCACTGATAAGGATGACATTGATGCGACTTAAAGAGCCACAAATATTAACTTTTTTCCTGCGAAAAATTAAATTCTAAAACATTTTATTTATGAATTGGAAAAATAAATAAAGGCGTTTGACGTATTTGTAGGTAAAAATTATTTCCTATTTAGTGAAAATGGGTATTTAAATGACTAAAAGGCAGCATTCCGCCCGAAGCAGTAACGTCTTATGTAAACAATGCACGCGCCATTCTGCCAATGATTGACGCCGTGTGCTGTGACGGCACGTGTTAAGGCAGTCATCTTTGACAGAGATGTATTACTAGACTCGTAATTCTCTGTGAAACAGATTGATAATATATAGTTACCAATGATTCAAGCATAGTTAAATGGACAATAAAATAAAATGAAATGAAATGTTGTTTAATGGCACGTGAGCTCCAACCGGGCTATATTGCGCCAAACATATGGTGAATCTAAAGAGACAAATTAAAACAATATCACATAAATGAATTTATATATGTAAATAAAAGCAAATATCACAGAAAATGTATTAATTAAAAATAAATATAACAAATCTTTTACATATATAAATATTTAAAAACGATATACATGATTAAATATATACAATTAAAATTGAGAATAAAAGTTTGTCACTTTTAAAAATGTTAGCACTTTATCATATAGCTCCGGTTGAGCAAATAGCTGACGTACTGACTGGCAACGGTAGTATTTAGATCTAATATACTTGAGATGTTTGCACTCAATCAAGATGTGTTTCACTGTCAACGGAACATGACAGTGAACACATTCTGGTTGAGGCTCTCGCTTCAAAATGAAAATGTGAGTTAAAAAGGTATGACCAATTCGAGAGCGACACAAAACAACTTCATCGCTCCTGTTGGTTCTCCTAGGAGAGGCTTAATGTGATGAAGTTTGTTTGTGCCTGCAAGATCCCAAGACCGTTGCCAGCGGCCATATATAAAAGAATTAATGGGGATTTAAAATCGGTGAATGATAAAAGGAATTTTGATATGGGAAGATCTAAAGCAGACTTGGTAGCTAAGTCTGCCTGATCATTCCCTTTAATATCAACGTGACTGGGGAGCCAGCAAAGGACTGTGTCCTTGCCGATAAACTCGTGTGATAGTAGCAGACGATACATGTCTGCTACTAATGGGTGTACAAGCTGTTTATTGTTTATTGCTTGTAAAGAGGACAGAGAATCAGTAAATATAACGTGTTTTAAAATAGAAGATGATTGAATGAACTCCAAAGCCTGAAAGATGGCCTGAAGTTCAGCAGTAAATGTGGAAGCAGCAGGTGGAAGTCTGACAGAAACGATTCCAGATGGTGTGACAGTAGCCGAAGCTACCCGATCACCATCCTTGGAACCATCTGTGTAAATCGGAGCATAATCACCATATTTAGACCTCAGCTCTCGAAAGAGAGACTGAAACACCGTGGAACTAGTATCTTTCTTTTTGTTTTTCGTTAGATCTAAATCGATCTTTGGAGGCGATATAGTCCAGGGTGGAGAACTAAACAAAGGGGAATTCGCAATACTGTCATGACTGATGCCGGCCTCTGACAAAAGGGGTTGGATGCGAATACCGAATGATGGAATAACATTAGTTCTCAGTAAATATAGATGTTCATGATAGGGTCTAAATATGGTGTTAAATGAAATATGATGAGGCAGAGATGCAATTTTTGTAGCATACTGCAGTGCAAGTTTATCACGTCTGTCGTGCAATGAGGGCTCGTGTGCCTCGACGTATAAACTCTGCACTGGAGATGTGCGAAATGCTCCTAAACTGATTCTAAGTCCTTGGTTGTGTATGGTGTCAAGCTCTTTGAGATAAGACTCGCGGGCTGACCCATACACAATACACCCATAGTCGAGTTTGGATCTTATTAATGTTCGATATAATCTGAGCAAGACCTTACGGTCTGCTCCCCAGTCAGTGTTTGATAAGACTCTCAATATGTTGAGGGCTTTCAGACATTTCTTCTTGGGTGTTTTTATATGAGGGATAAATGATAATTTCTTATCAAATATCAAACCCAAGAATTTCGTTTCATCTACAACTGGAATGGGACTACCATCCAGCGTAAGCTCCGGATCAGGATGTAAACCCCTTCTTTGACAGAAGTGCATGCACACAGTCTTGGATTTCGAAAATCGAAATCCAAATCCATTGTCAGTTGCCCATTGTTGAATATAATTTAAGCAAAGCTGCAACTGACGTTCGATTGTCTGCATGCTTGTCGATCCGTAACACATCTTAACGTCATCAACATAAAGAGAGCCGTCGACCCCGCGTTTAAGGCACGTCGGTATCGTATTTATTTTGATAGAAAAAAGTGTGGGAGACAATATACTTCCCTGGGGAACTCCCATTTCCTGGGGAAATGGGTCAGAGAATATTGATCCCAAACGTACCTTAAACGACCTATCTTCTAAGAAGTTTTTAATGAAGATAGGTAAGCGACCCCGCAGACCGAGGTTATGCAGGTCGCGCATGATACCATATTTCCATGTGGTATCATATGCTTTCTCCAGATCAAAAAATATAGCAACTAAATGTTGTTTCTTGATGAAAGCATCCCTGACAAGCGTTTCAAATCTAACGAGATGATCAAGAGTGCTCCTTTGGGACCGAAATCCACATTGGAGGTTTGTAATGAGGTTGTTGGACTCAAGGTACCAAACAAGCCTTCGATTGATCAATCTCTCCATGGTTTTGCAAATGCAGCTAGTTAAAGCGATCGGGCGATAATTGGTAGGATTCGTAGGATCTTTACCCGGTTTAGGGATGGGAATTATTATGGCTTCATGCCACGAAGGAGGGAAATTCCCATCAACCCAAATCCGGTTAAAAAGATCTAGTAGTATTAAGAGGGTAGAAAAAGGTAAATGTTTTAAAATCTGGTAGTGAATTTCATCTGGACCAGTTGCAGTATCACGAGCTCGTTTAAGAGAATCACGGAGTTCAGCAATTGAAAACGTAACATTATAACATTCATCATTACGGGACTTGAAGTTAAGTCGCCTTTTCTCCTGCTGATGTTTAATGCCCTGAAAGGCATCAGAGGAGAAATTGGATGATGAATTGAAGGAGAAAGTACTGGCCAGAGAATTAGCGATATCAGGAAATGTTGTTAGGGTGGAATTATCAACATTTAGATGGTTAACTGATAATGCACTACTTTTACCTTTAATTCTACGAATCCTATCCCATACCGATTTGGAAGTGGTACGGGAATTGATCCTTGAGACATAACACTGCCATGAAGATTTCCTTGCTTGGCGTATGGTTCTACGGGCCTTCGCCCGGACCATTTGGTATGCAGCAATATTCTCCATGGATGGGTGATTCTCAAGGCGTCTTAAAATCCGATCACGCTCTTTAAGTGCGGATTTGCAATCGTTATTATACCATGGTTTATTGAAACGGTTTGGCTCAGTCGTGGTCTTTGGAATGGCCTGCTCAGCTACATCTTGAAGAATTGAAGTGAATAAGGCCATGGGCTCATCTGCATCTTCTATCAAAAGAGAAGAGACACAAAGATTCAAAAAGAGCCCAATCTGCCTTATGCAACGTCCACCTCTGAGGTCTTTCAACCGGAGAGGGACCATTATTATCTATCAAGACCGGAGAGCAAATGGTGAGATCGAGGGAAGAAAAGGAAGCTGTGGCAGGATGTAGATAAGTAGGCGAGTCGTCATTTAATAAACACAAATTATTAATAGTAATGAAGTCCGCTATTTGTTTACCTCTGTGGTTATCATCCGGACTACCCCAGAGTGAATGATGACCATTGAAATCTCCCGTAATTATAAACGGGAGAGGAAGTTGCGCAATAAGGTCATCAAGACCTCTGTGGTTCAGATGTAAACTTGGTGGAAGATATACAGAGTAAAGTGTGATGGGAATATGTAGAGTCACCCTAACTGCAACTGCCTGTAAAGGCGAGTTGAGGGCGACTTTACTCTGCGGAATGTTTCCATTAAGGAAAATGGAAACACCACCGTGTGCTCTACCATCACCATTAGCAAAATGGTGATATGCAACAAAATGTCTGAGTGATAAGACATCTGAATTCTTTAAAAAAAAAAAATTCTTGTAAACAAATAGCTAAGGGGTTAATTTTTTGAATTAAGATTTGAACTTCATTAAAATTTGGTTTAAGACCACGACAATTCCATTGAATAATGGAATTAGCCATTTTCAGGGAGGTTTAACAGGACTTCTATGATGTTGTTTGGGGTCATGTACTTCAACAACAACATCCATTAGATTGTCCTGTATCCCGAACATGTTATAGGTTCCGACAGGATCCTCGTCACCCATCCTACTACGGAAGGTATTTAATTTTCGAGGAACGTCTTTATCAGAATGTTTCTTGATCTTATTGGTTTTGGGTGGAGTAGGGGGCACAATCTCCTCTATCTCAGTCTCCCCAGACTTATTAACAGCCTGAGTGCCGAGAGATTTATTTACAGGTTTAGGTGGAACAATAGGTTTTTGTTTAGACGAGGAATCTTCTGTCTCAGCTGGAAATTCAGCAGGTGTTTGGCAAGCAATGGAAGTGGTCTTCGGCTTCACTGCATTTGCAAAAGACATTGCAAATGTTGGGGTTGCAGCCTCTACCAGCTTCCTTGTTTCAGGATATGGTATGTTTTTTTCTGTTTTCACCTGCTGAACTTGTTTTTCTTTCTTTCATATTGGGCACTCTCTAGAATAAGCAAAATGAGGCCCTTTGCAGTTAATACAATGGTGGTCGAGTTGACAAGATGTACTTTCGTGACCATCTTGTCCACATCGAGCACACATCGCTTACCCCTTGCACACGTTTTACTGTGTCCAAAGCGTTGACAATGAAAGCAACGCAATGGATTTGGGATGTAAGGGGTAACTGGAATGGCAAGAAAACCAGCTTTAATCATCCTAGGAAGATCTGGTTTATCAAAGGTCAGGGTATAGTTGTTGGTTTGGATAATGTTACCATTACGTCTGATGGAAATACGTTTGACGTATGTAACACCTTCTGAGGCGAGATTTTCAAGCATATCTTCCTCACAGCTGCCCTCTAAGTCTTGAGACCGAATAACACCTCTTGATGAATTTAGAGAGTTATACGGTGCAACTTTGATAGGAATGTTAACTACAGTCTTTGATTTTAATAATGAAGTAGCATGTGATTCTTTAGCACATTCCACTAACAAAGTACCATTTCTCATTTTCTTGACGCTTTTGGGCTCACCAGCCAAGCCAGCAAGACCTTTAGCAATCAAAAAAGGAGATGTTTTACTAAGATTGATATCGTTAGTACTTTGTATGACCAGAAATCTAGGCCAGGTTCGGGAAGTTTTTATTGGTAATGGTTCTAATTCCTCGGTCGACATACGTTTGGTAGCACGAGTCTTCTTGGTTTGAGAAGCCATTTGATTGATTGAAAAGATTCATCCCTGCCTGCTCTCCAACCACCAAAGGGTTGCAATCTCAATGCAGGCAACTGCGCGGATATCCAGCGCATGCGCCCTACGAGGACAGACAGGGAAAAACCTAGATAAAGTAAAGGTTTAAAATTAAATACGTACGGCCATTTACGCGATAGTCCTATACAATGGGCCACCATAAGCATCTAAAAATAGCAGTAGTCACTGCTAATTTTAGATCTTACAGCATACAGAGAGCTATTTTAGACAGACTGCACACTGGGTCATTCCGCAAATCTCTATCTAAATCTATTTGTTATGGTCACTGAGATCCAAATAAGATTAGGGCACGTGATTGTTGGGGAGATTGTAGACTATAGAGTTTGGGTAAGCATTGGGGCTAGGTCTAGGGTTAGGGTTAAGGTTAGGATTAGCGCTAGCCATGTTTACATCTCGTGACATATGACGAAAAATAGAGCTGGGATTATCATTTAACCCTAACCGCAAATCCCGTCATAGTCTACAACACACGGCTATAAAACTGACAATTGATAACCTCCAAATTGATAACCTAATATTTAGACTATGCACAGACAATAGTCATTAAAAACGATAGAGAAAGGTTCAATAAACACTGACAATTAAATTACCTGTACGGCGTCGCTTGTAACTGTAGTGTCACAGTAGTTCATGTTCCCCTACTAATCCGTGCGTTACTTCCAAGTCCTATTCTCTTACCGATCCGTAATTAATTGCCAGTTATTTGATTAGTAGAAGTAAAGATTTCAACGACAACAGACGTCTTGTTGTTTCTGCTCCTCTACTCGCCGCTGTCTCGGCTAGAATAGCTAGTATCTTTGTCGTGCCAATTAACTAGACCTGAGCCTCTAGAATAACATCGACACGGCATCACATAACTGCTTCCATGATCGAAAACTCAAAAAGGGTAATCCCCGGATAAATCCATTTGTTAAGGTCAGCTCAAGTTTTGTCAAGGTCGTTGAGATTTAAATAAGGTTAGAGCACGTGATTGTTGACGAGATCGTAGGTTAGGGTTAGGGTAAGCATTAAGGTTAGGGTTAGGGTTGATATTAGCGCTAGTCCTATTTACATCTTGTGACCTATGACGAAAAATTGAGCTGGCCTTATCATTTCGCACTAAACGGTAATGCCCACTTTCCGGAAATTACACCTAGAAGCGACACCTAGATGAAATGATTTTTACGGAACCCCTTAAGTGCAATATTCTACTCTTATATTTATTTCGTTTAAACAAAACATTAATGGTTAAACGACTCGTGCGTCTCTCTCGATTTCGAAATGCGGCGGGTCTTGAAGTTCTTAACATATCTTTTTTTTCTTCTTCTAAAAGTTGGGATTTTTCCACTGGGTAATGAACTAATGAACACTATCGATTTTCCACCTACAGTCCTAGAGTTACTGCGTCAAGCTCCGTCGCATTTCGAAAACTTTGTGAGCACGATAGATACCACAATTGTTGGGTGGGGGGGGGGGGGTAACATTTTATTTTCAACGTATTAAAGGGCCAATCCCGATTATATTTTGGAGAATCCAACAGCGTAATTTTGTGTTAAAATCCTTTACCTTAGAGCCGAGCAACTAAATCAATATTCGTGATACGTTTTCAAACAACTTAAACCCGTCAGTCTGCATCTAGAAATGGAGACCAGTGTCCCAAGCTGTATTATGCGGTGTCTGGATCAAACCAGACGTTTATTTTATAAAAATAACGTGTAGCGGAAATTTATCTTTCGTTATCAAGTACATCACATGGGCCATTCACTGTATATACCTCTAAAGGAACGGTAATCGATTATCAGGTTACCCAACGAAGCAATTGACCCAAAATCTTAAAAGGGTTACCTGTCCGGATAAGCAATTTTGACGTTCACGTCCGCACGACTCAGTATTTTGTGCTGAAATTATGAGACAAGGTAAATAAACCCCCCCCCCCCTCTCTCTCTCTCTCTCTCTCTCTCTAATCTCCGACAAAGCCCCTTTTAACGAGGTAAAATATTTCGTTTAAACGAAATAATCAGTTCGTTAAAACAAAATAATTAATTCTATTTAACGAAATAACTAATTCGTTTAACCGAAATAATATTTCGTATTAACAATATATTTCGTTTAAACGATAGACAGTGTAATTAAATGAAATAATATTTGAGTGGAATCTTACACTTAATAAGCTCCATGGATTGTAAATCAATCCCTCGTGTTGTTTTAATATATTACTTAAAGTCTTCAGCTTGAAACCATTAAACAACATAAAATGCAGACACTCGCACGTGCTTTGCAATGAAATACGTCACGTTTTAATACGTTTTAAATTATTGCATGAACAGTTCAATTTAATCTATGACATGTGTGAACTATAAATCACTGTCTGATTTTTCGTTCATATGTCAGTTTAATTTTATACTTAATTACGACGAACACTGTTTATGATAAAAGTTTATTAAATAGTTGAAAGTTCACATTGTATGTCATTCCAAAATGGCTAATGCACAGGTAAACGTTAGATTCTTTCCAAACTCGAGAGGTACTCGAAGCCTTGTTTATGATAATTATAAGTTTAGTGTTAAGACAAGAAGAGGAGCCATCATTCACTGGAAGCGAACTGTTCGTGAATGCCCTGCTACTTCCAATACCAGGAATGACCTGGTTACTACCTACAGAAACATCCATAATCATCAAGCTGATCCAGCCAAATTAAAGTTGACATGTTTTTATCAGCAATGAAAGAATCGGTTAAATACTAAATTTGTAAATAAAATAACTTGTATGTAAAGTAGTTAATATTGATATAAAAATATATATGTACATGCTAAATTTGTTAATAAAATAACTTTTATGTAAAGTGGTTAATATTGATATGAAAAAGACTATAGTTTTAACACCATTGTTACCCTAATTAGTACTGGTCCAATGAGTTTACCTGGAAAACAATAGCTGCTGGGAAAGTGAGAACACCCCCAAAATTTTCCCCCTAAAACTCGGAGAGTCGGCGATATGGGAATGAACCGGATGTACTATAATGGTTGTATTCACTGTTGAACTTGTCTGCGATATCACCCTTGGTGGAAGTGCACGTAAAACCCCACGAAAGAAAGAGAGAGAAAAATGGGGTTTAACATCCACTCGACACAAACTAGGTCATTTCTGGACTATTATTATTATTATTATTTCAATAATAATTATTATTTCAATAATTCGCTTGCTCGTAGGGGTCTTTAGCAGTGGGAGGACCCGGAGAAAACCCACGAGGTTGGACAGGCGACCTACTCTTTGTCACGTACAACCGGGGAATCGAAACCCCGCCAGTTGACTCAATGACCGACCGCATGATACAGCTCAGCGCGCACGTGCTAACCATTCGGCCATCCAACCCCCACGAAAGAAAGAACGAACATTTTTGATCATTGCTTGATAAATATACCTGTAAGAGTATTGAAACGTTGCATGTAATAAACCAAGAAGTAGTCAATCTATAAAGTTGGGTTATTATGAATATTATACATCTACTTATAAATGTCATTTATTTGTTAATTAGACTAGAAAGAGGGACAGAGAGGGGTGGAGTTTAACATCCACTCGAAAGAAGTGTACCAGGTCATTTCGGCACTAATATATGGTTCAATTTTATTTCAATAATTCGCTTGCGCGTAGGGGTCTTTAGCAGTTGGAGGAAACCGGAGGACCCGGAGAAAACCCACGAGGATGGACAGGCGACCGGGGAATCGAAACCACGCCAGTTGTTGACTCAATGACAGACCTTATATGATAGACCGCGCACACGTTTACCATTCGGCCATCCAACCTCGCTAATTAGATTAGTGTTACCTGTTTGTATATAATCTTCTGTAACATGTTTGATTGTATCATTGCTTGATAAAGGTAAGAGTATCGATTGAAACGTTGCAGTTAATAAACCTGGTGAATTTAACGCATAAACCGTCTTTTAATGATCAAAATCAAATGTGGTTTGTACCCTGGTGATTATCTGCCCCTTTAATAGGGAAACCCCCTTCTTATTTTTAGACCTTCTGTTTAAATAGTCTTGGACGGCACCCTGGATAACCAAATCAACAAAGCCGGGAAACCCATTGGCTTGACGTCAGAGTGGCAAACTTCCGCAATAAATCGATAAGAAAAGGAGAAAAATGTACCGTAAATATAACAACAATTATAAATAACATAGAAATAACGAGACAACAGAATATGAATGAAGGAGTTTAAGAAGCTATTTAATTACTTGATCAAATAGGGCCTATATGTGTTAGGTAAGATTGGGTGACTGTCAGCATCGAGATAATACAATATTACCACTTCGATATCACCAGGAAATCATAAAATTTGACGAAACCTACTCGAATACACGTTGTCGGAGTATGCGGCGCTATCGCACATCTTCATCGTTTATAGGTGCTACATCATACTGTTTTGATATACATGTACAGTTGTACATGTAGAAAAGGCCTACTGTTTGTATGAATGTATTGATCGAGTTGTCTATGTAATATGTATTATATTAAATGTATATGACTATGTCTAAGTGTATATGGTATACAGACAACTCAGACTGAACTCATCCCAAGACAACTCATATGTATATTGTATGCATGCTGTCCCTCATGGACGTTTTGATGCAATAAACATCTTATCTATCTTATCTTATCTTACTGACATTTATGCAACACCAGTGCAGCAGCGCCGTCGGTGATTGGAGGGGCAATTGATACACTATACGACTCGTTACGCAAGTAAAATTAGGTTCATTTGCAAATTTTTCAACACACATCATCATAGTTTGCATGGGAATAAGTGATTATGTTACAAAAAGTGAAGAGTGGAACACAGAAATCTTAATTTTATCATACCGAACAGTTTTTCTGTATTTCCGAGTGATATGATAGCATGTGATTCTGGTCTGGTACAGTGGCCATTTTAACTGAACAAATATTTCGCATAGCAGTTGGGTTAAAATCAAATCATATAATTATGGGGTAAGGTTTCACCTTTATTTCAATGAGAATTGGTTTATTATATGTTAAAGTAGCTATAAAAAGTCTCTAACTCAATATCATCAAAAATCTTTGACATTGAAAACACAAATTATTTGTCAATTCAAATCAACATTGGTCTTGTGATCTTACAGGGAAAAGATGGGCTTCTGATATCCAATATTCAAGACAAAATAAACATTTTACCATTGGTACACGAATCGTGTACCATAATTTGGTACACGAATCGTGTACCATAATGTGTTTCAGCGCTATTTGGAACAAGGGACTCAAAGAACAGGGCTAGACATATTCCACAAGTCACCTCAAATGGTGACACTATATTCTTATCTGGAGAGCATGCGCAATAAATACCATCGATGTAGACTGGAAAAACCAGACGCTAAAGATTGCCATTCACATGAGACTTTTGGCGTATTTCGCCGAACATAACTGATTAGAAATTACAGTAAAAACAGAAATGATTGAATGTAAATCAGTTTATATACATTCATATTACATTATTATATGCGTTGCGACCCATTTTTGTCAATTTCTAGGTCCCAAATATTAGCGATTTAGCTCCTTTAAGCTATGTATAGTACAGTTTGGGGTCAGTGTAATTGGAAATTAAGGGAGTTATAGGCTAGTAACTTTTTTGTAGTCAAATGACTACAAAACTTGCGCAAAGGAAGGCCTTAGGACCGTCCACTACTGTGGCTGGAGTAAGACGTAAGACATCAGTAGTGGAACCATTTCTAGGCAACGGCACAAGCTTCAACTAGGGATATGGAGGCCTCCCCTAGAAAATTTTGAAAAACAAGTTGCCGGAAATGCAGCCTGGCAGTATTTCAGACACTGATCGTTGAGGTAAAGTGTCAAACGAACGGACTTGCGAATCTCGACGAGGCCCACTTACAAGCGTCAAAGTAGGGAGTCCTCACAAAGGGTATGGGGGACCTCCCAAGAAAATTTTGAAAAATAGACTGCCGGAAATGCTGTCTGTCAGTATTCAGTCAGGCACCGATCGTCGAGATAAATAGATCTTACCAGATACCTTCCGTCGCCTGATCACTAGTTTATCCGACCAGAGAACAAAATGCCAAAAGAACAGACTTGTGAACCTCAATGAATTTCCCTTGTGAGCACCAAACTAGCGAGTCCATTGGGGACCTCCCTAAGAAAATTTTGCAAAATAGACAGTCGGAAATGCTCTACAACATACAAGTTAATGACTGAGTGGGGATGTGAGATTTATTCAATGTAGAAGGTATTGATTACCGAAACGTATCACAAATACTTTTTTTTTTTTTCTAAAATTATTGGAGGGGGGGGGGCAAACAGAGGACTGACCACTGTGCACCGCCCATGCGTCAAGTGTCTTATATAAAAGTTATTCGTATCTTTGTGGGGGGTTGGGTGGGTGAATGGTTAGCACGTGCGTGCTGTACCATAAAGTCGGTCATTGAGTCAACTGGAGTGGTTTCGAATCCCCGGTTGTACGTGGCAAGGAGTAGGGTCGCCTGTCCAACCTCGTGGCTTTTCTTCGGGTCCTCCGGTTTCCTCCCACTGCTAAAGACCCCTACGCGCAAGCGAATTATTGAAATAAAATTAAACCATGTGTTAGTCCCGAAATGACCTAGTTTGTGTCGAGTGGACGTTAAACCCCATTTCTCTCTCTCTCTCGTATCTTTATGATCTGATAAGGTTTGAAATATTGGACATGTTTTTGGAGTTTGATGATTTCTCTAGTATACTGGGGTTTAAATTATTCCAATCTTTAATCGTGTTTGGTATAAAGCTGTGCTTGTAGGCATCTGTATGTTTGTTGCAATCTTTTCTGTTGTTTGATTTGATGTCAGATGTAGGTATGCTTGCTTGGCCATGTAACCCTTTGTGTAATAAAATGAGCCTATTTTCTCTTCTTCGGTCTTTCAGTTGCTTCCAGTTTAGGTCTACCATTATCTGGGTCATCGATCCATCTTCATAGTTTGGGTCCCATACCGTTCCAGCATATTCCAAAATGGGTCTTACAAAACTTAGATAAGCAGTTTCCTTTACTTCCGTATTGCAACAGTATAAATTGCGCCTAAGCATTCCTAGGATTTTATTTGCCTTTGATGATGTGTTTCTCCCATAGGCGTACGAGCTTGGGGGGGGGGGGCGGCTGCCCCCCAATTTTGGGCACCAAATGCTGGAAAAATTTGGGCACACAATTGTATTTTGTAAAAGTTGTATAAAAAAAGATATTGTGTTCTTGAATGTGTCCAATTAAACATCGAATTTATTATTATTATGTAACATACTAAGAACCTAACTACATTTTTGGGGCACCAACCACACCGCCCCCCCGGTCAAAAATTTCCCCGTACGCCTATGGTTTCTCCCATCTGAGGTCTGATGATATAGTTACTCCCAGGTATTTGATATGCTTCGGGAATACTAACTTTCATCATGTTACATTTTACCGGTTGGAAACTCATCCCCCATTTCCTTGCCCAAGCACCTAATTTATCTTTCATTTATCTGTTTACACAGTCATCAGCAAATAAACGAATGTCTGAGTCTATATCATCCAAAATGTCGTTTATGTGTAAACTGAATAGAACCGGACCCAGAACGGTGCCTTGTGGTACTCCGGATTCAACTGTTGACCATCCTGGTTTTGTCCCATTTACTACAACACACTGTTTGCGATAACATAAAAAAAGAATCAATCCAGCATAGTGTTTTACCATCAATTCCATAGCTGTTTAATTTTGACTTTAGTAATTCATGTGGTACAGTATCAAAAGCCTTTTCAAAATCGAGGATAAATATATCTGTTTGCTTTCCGGCATCAATATTTTTTGACCAATCATGTATCACATTACAGAATTGTGTTTCACAACTATGGAATTTACGAAATCCATGTTGTTTATTGGTTATGATGTTATGGTTATCCAAGTGACTCATAATGTTAGAGCATACTATGTGTTCGAGTAATTTGCATAAAATACATGTTAATGAGACTGGGCGGTAGTTCGCTGGAATTGAACGGTCTGCTTTTTTAAATAATGGACAAATATTTGCTTTGGTCCACTCTTCAGGTATAGAACTTGTGTTAAGTGATTGTTGAAACAGATGTTTAACTATTGGTGATAATTCTTTGGATAATTCTTTCAATATTTTCGGGCTAATGTCATCTAGTCCACATGCTTTAGATGTGTTTAATCACAACATCAGTTTTTGCCCTCCTCCTTCAGTTATTTTTTTATTTCATTCATTTTCAGATATTGATGTTTTAGTAAGGGTGTTTCATTCGACGTTTTCTTGGTAAAATCAGGTCTAGTTTGCACGTGATTTTCTCTAGTTGGGAAGTCTACAAGTTGTTCCATGTGGTGGTCATTTAGAATATCTGTGAAAGCTTGGCCCTCAATTTGGCTTAGGGTTTTCCCATCTCTGCCTGTCTTGGAGTTCCAATCGATATTTGGAAAGTTAAAATCCCCCATGAGGTTTATATTTGATGTTTTATGTTTGGCAGATTGATTATTTATCTTCATAAGTTGATCTTTCAAAAGTTGGGTATCATCTATTGGGTTTTCGGGGTCGTTATACCAGCAACCGAAGAAATGGGGTGACCCGTTAAATATAACTTTTGCCCAAACAGATTCAGAACCGTTTTCCATCATGTACAAGGGCATGGTGTTGAAAGATTTATTTATGAGGAGTATAACACCGCCACCATAAAGAGTTCTGTCATTTCTGTAAACATCGTAGTTTAGGCTGTCTGACAAGAGTTTGGGAGTTAATATACTTTTATCTATTTTCGTTTCTTGTATTGCTACGATATCGGCATTTTCTTGTTCTAAAAAAGAGGATAGTTCTAATTTTTTTCCCTGATACCATTGATATTTTTAGACATGATCTTGACTTGGTTTTTGAATGTTTTCTTTTGATTGTTGTCTGTACTGGTTGTTGTTTGACCGCCAGTGGAGCTGGGAGCATTTAAAATGGTGTTCTAAAGCCCTATATCTATTATCTAGGTTGATAGATGTTTCGTTTTCAAAGAAGGAGTCTGAGAAGTTTATAATTTCACATGCAGGATAGATCCAGGATGCTGATGTTACCTGCAGCTGTTTGTATTCGTCGGTGTTTATGCCGCAGCATTTGTTGTGTGTCCAATTATTACAACTATCGCATTGGATCTAGAGATTTTACTTGTTTGTTACGTAAGTAGCAACTTGCAATGCAATTTGAACAATGCCAATCATTCTCATCATTGGTTTTTATATTCTTTTTTGCTTATGTTTTCGCATCTTATGTGGATCCATAGATCACATGTGTCACACTGAATGGCTCTATCAGGTCGTTTTACAAGTTTTTTACATGTTCCACAATGATGTTTTGGACCTGGGTTGGGTTCAATGTCGCCTGATAATATTAGTAGTAAGGCAAAGTTTGTTCTGTTGTTCGGTCTAAAAAGTTTATCAATGGTAGTCTTTTGTTGTTGGCCGGGTTTGTTGACATAAAGTAGGTATTTTGACTTGTCATTAATCACAGTATCACTGTTGGTTCCTGATGAATATTTGTATAGGTTTGACATCTTTCTAGGATAAAACAGGGGATGATAAAACAGGGGATGATAAAAGTTATAAAAGAGTCTAGGAAACTAAAAACCACGTCACGCGCGTGGAAATTCTGTTCGGAATGGGTAAGACAATACTACTTAAAAATATCTTTAAAAATGTCGCAATGTGGCTTAATTTGTTTTCTGAGTAAAAATATGTGGTATGGAGGAATCCTGTAGATAAAATTGCTGTTTTCTTCAACTTAAAGGAGCTAAATCGCTAATATGTGGGACCTAGAAATTGACACAAATGGGTCGCAACCTATATAATAATGTAATATGAATGTCTATAAAACTGATTTACATTCAATCATTTCCGTTTTTACTCTAATATCAAATCAGTTATGTTCCTCGAAATACGCCAGAAGTCTTAATCGAATGGCAATCTCTAGCGTCTGGTTATTCCAGTCTACACTGATAGTATTTATTGCACATGTTCTCCAGATAAGAATATGGGGTCACCGTTTCACATGACTTGTGGAATATGTCTAACCTTGTTCTTCCGGGTTGCTTGTTACAAATTGCGCTAAAATGCATCATGGTACACGATTCGTGTACCAATCATAAAATGTTTATTTTGTCATAAATATTGGATATCAGAAGCCCATCTTTTCCTAGTAAGATCACAACACCAATGTTGATTAAAATTGACAAATAATTTGTGTTTTCATTGTCGAAGGTTTTGGATGATTTGATATTGAGTTAGAGACTTAGCTACTTTAAAACTATCAAAACACTGTTAAAATCATAAAAAATTTCTTCTCAAATTTTTGTGGCTGACATCTTGACGCATGCGCACTCTACCAGGTCCTGTTGTCATAAAGACTTGAAATTTTCAGGGGGACCAGCGATGTTTCTAAAATATTATACTACATAAAATGCTTCGTATATTCCGTATGGGTTTTCTTGCACCGTCTAAAATTTTAACTTAAATACTGTATAAAAAAAATGCCGTTTGTAACATCTCCCGCCTCCCCCCCACCCCACTTTCTAGTCCCCAGAATTCAGGAATTTCTGCAAAACACCTGAAGTAGGCTGAATTGCGCACTGTATAGAGTATAGACACAGTCTCATAAGGATACCCAATAAAGATACTTTGATTAATAAAATCTTCTTTTCTTTTTAACAGAATTAGAATATTCAAAATGAACAAGTTTTTTAGATACAGACAAGACCCCAAAACTAATATTAGAGATGTGAGCTCTGCGATCATGCTGGACTTAAGAAGGCAGCTTGAAACAGGACCAAATGATAAAAATTGGAGAGCTTTTGCAGCACGACTAAAAAGACCTTACATGTTCTCGTAAGTTGATGTTTAGTTAAAATGAAAAAAAAATTAAAAAAAACAACAACAAGCATAATTCACATGTGTATTGATATCAATTTTGAAAGCCTTATTGTGTCCAAAGTATGGATACTATTTCACCCTGCCGGACATGTCCTACGCTGTTTTCCAAACATCCGAGACCAGGAATACACCCAATCAGACATCAAGATATGGTGAAAAATATTCAAAATTCTAAAATATATTGACTGTTCTGAACTACAACTCATCCGGATTATCTTTGCTAATAGGCTGGATTAATTAGGTAATTAAGTGACCACTGTATTTATCGTGTTATACCGTTTATACACCTACCTTGCTTAACTACTTGGGGGGGGGGGGGGGGGGGTGGATGGCCGAATGGTTAGCACGTGCGTGCTGTATCATAAGGCCTGTCATTGAGTCAACTGGCATGGTTTCGAATCCCCGGTTGTACGTGACAAGGATTAGGGTCGTCTGTCCAACCTCCTGGGTTTTCTCCGGGTCCTCCGGTTTCCTCCCACTGCTAAAGACCCCTGCACGCAAGCGAATTTTTGAAATAAAATTAAACCATATGTTAGTCCCGAAATGACCTAGTTTGTGTCGAGTGGACGTTAAACCCCATTCTCTGTCTCTCTGATTAACTACTTTATCTGCCTTGATTGGCGGACTTAATTCTTTATCAGTCAATTTATCAATCTAATCTTAAACAGAAGTCATTGCTTCTCCTTTGTTGGACTAGCTATCAATCCAATTAGAGTCGACTCCAAAGGCCATCAAAAGTTTCATTATTTAGATTTTAGAAAAATATTAACTAAGGTTGTACTCGAGAGTGTCATAGCACTATAGACATTCAAGACATAAAATGTAACATAGATTAGATATACATATCACTTGATATTCAGAGACAGAAATGGAACAATAAAGATGGCAACATGGAATCAATTTTATTATTTTTTTTTTTTTTTAAATTTGCTGTTTTGACTACTTTTTATCGTGTGTGGCTTCAAACTCTATTTTTGCTGGAATATTTTGCCATTATCCTTGGCAGGTGTGAGTTTTCTAACCCTTTTGGGGATGTCCCTTTTTTGATTTAAGTACATGTATATTGTGATATTTGCCAATATATGTAGTTCCAGTATCATCGTTTTTGTAGGGCATGCAATCTAGGGTTAGAATTAGGATTATAAAAATCTAGAGTTAGAGTTATAATACCAGTTAATGGCGGAACTATTGACAAATTCTTTATATCTCCATGTAGTCTTAGATATTTTCTGTTCCAGGCAAATCGAAATAGAGAAAATAGCTTTGTTGATCCATTCCTCAAAGAGCCCTGTTGATCAGTTGATTTTAGAACTAGGAGGAAAAGGATTCTGTGTGAAAGATTTGGCAGAAATTTTACTAGAAATGAAAATGGAGAAAACATTATTTGATTTGGTAGAATACAGTGAGTAATCTAGTCATTTTATTTAAAGTGGGAGCAGCCCCAGAAAAGTAAACATGAAAATCGGTTGTGGCTCAGTGACAGTCTGAACAGTTGAACCTCACTGTAAGGGTATTCACAATAAGGTTGGGATCCCCACCCGGAGCCTCTCCTTTGGATGAAATTCACCTTGGGCGCTTCCCTTCAAAGAAATTGTGTCTTATCCAAATAAGCTGGATCAAGCTTATTTTGTGGCTTCCTCTGGCATGTTTCTTATGAAACACTTGTCTACGATATCACCCTTGGTGGAAGTGACGTAGAACTCTAGGAATGAACGAACAAACAGTTGGGATCAGATGAACTCTGACGACAGGAATGTGAAACTCAATGTATAATCGGACCTCAAGATTAGATTAATATCTGTATAAGACACATTTCAGCATTGATCAGAACAGAGAAGCCCTAGGTAGCGAAGAGCGGTATTTTCATATTGCAGCTTAATAAGGACAGATAGGAACGGACAGCGTCCGATCTGAGACCGTTTCTATAGGAACTAGACAGCGGCTAGTATTCATAAGTTGATATGACAGCGGCTAGTATTCATATCACAGAGGCTAGTATTCATAAGTCGATGTGACAGAGACTAGTGCACAGAGACTAGTATTCAATGGAGATGGCTACATGAATTATTTTATTGTATCTTGTTTCATCCAGTCCCAATCAATAATTTTATTATATATTCTTTCATCCAGTCCCAATCAAGATAATTAAACAACCAACTAGTTATATAGAAGTCGGAGAAAACAAAACAATCAAACTGTCCGTGGAGGCGTTTGGTCTGCCATTTCCACGATATCAGTGGTTTAAAGGAGATGATGAAGTTCCTGGTGCGATGGAGGCTACCCTTCAAATAGATGATATCAGGTACGTTAACATTAGTTTTACAATTAAGGGTGGTGGGGTTGGATGGCCGAATGGTGAGCACGTGCACACTTTATGACAAGGTCTGTCATTGAGTCAACTGGCGTGGTTTCGATTCCCCAGTTGTCCGTGACAAGGAGTAGGGTCATCTGTCCAACCTCGTGGGTTTTCTCCGGGTCCTCCAGTTCTCCCCACTGCTAAAGACCCCTACACGTAAGCGAATTATTGAAATAAAATTGAACCATGTGTTAGTCCCAAAATGACCTAGTTTGTGTTGAGTGGACGTTAAACTCTCTCTCATACACAATTAAAGGACTGTGATAGGTCAAGTCATAAGGTCTATCAGCTGGAATGTCTCACCTTCACATCCAGGTGTAGAAGGAGATGTATCTTCAGGAACCTTTTTGGCCTATTTCCCACTCGTCGGGGAGTGACAGCAATTCATTTGAAATTCTGTTGTTAGAAACAATGACTGATAGTCGTGATAAGTTGACTATAGACGTGGCCCTGGCAGATCGCATATTTATCATATATTTGTAAATACTGAATTGAACCATTTTAGACATTCAACTTCAACAATATTGTGTTGTTCAAGGTATTAGACTTTCTTTAAATGATGATCGGAAACTGTAACATTGATTTACAAATACACGCCTGTCCAACCTCGTGGATTTTCTCCGGGTCCTCTGGTTTCCTCCCACTGCTAAAGACCCTTACACGCAAGCAAATATCATTGAAATTAAATTAAACCATATATTAGTCCAGAGATGACCTAGTTTTAAGAATACAAACTAAAAATATAAACCATAGGTAATCTCCTGGTTTGGATAAAAAGAGGCCAATCAAAAGATTTTATCAAGCACTTATAGGTGGCACTGGCTTTTTTTATTTTATATGATCTAAAGATGGTGCCAAATGTTGAGATATTTTCAATTCATCATTCATTGTATGTAATTACTGAACAAAACTGAACCATTTTGAATTCCTTCTAGAAATTTAACATGTACCATCATATAATTTTTCTGGGATTCAGAATGTAGTGTAGGACTTTATCTTGCTTATAAACCGTCTATGTTTACATGTAATCAAAATGAGAATATCTCAGAATTCCAGTAAGAAAAACCTTATATCATGTTTTCTTATGGAAAAAAAACCTACCCTGGAAGAATAACCTGTTTCAGGTTTACAGAAAATCTTTCAAAAGAAAAACACCAAATTTCCCTGTATATATCCAAGCCGCCCTCCGACGTTCAGACCGCAAGTTATTACGGGCATAGAATATACCCTAAACATCAAAGAGATTTATCGTTACAGGTTTATAAGAGACTTTAACATATGGCATGAGACGTTAAAATCTTTTTAAGACTTGACATTCTATTTGCTGCGATCTGGTGAATTCTTAGCGAAACCATACCTATTTAATCCAAACAGTAAACAAAAATATAATCCAGTTTTTTTCCTGGAATTCAGGAATCCAGATAGTAAATTGGGCTCCAGTTAATACTATCATGTCTCGCCCTTGAAGCTGTTGTTTTTTATGTTTATTTGTTTCCTATTGACAGGTATGAAGATGAAGGTACATACTGTTGTCGACTACATAACTCACGTGATCCAGCATTAGTTACATTTACCACAGAATCGGAAGTTAAAGTTCATCTGAAACTTACAAACAATGATGACGATGATCTCGGTAAAGGTAATCATAATGTATTTTAATCTTCAATATTGCAAGAGAAATAGTCCCATACCTAGCGGGGCGTGGGGCTGGGCCGACCAATGTCACTCGACTTTTGGGCATGTTGCTCGTTCACTTTGTATTGTGTTCAATGATAATGAGTGTCCAATTTACAAGTGTTTAGTTTCCTGACCACTGGTCAAAAATTAATAACTATACATCAATAATCAATTGGGTTGTTTATTTTTGAACAGTGAACGAGAAATTAAGCACTTGTAAATTGGACACTCATTATCAAAATTGAATGGTCAGCTTTAAACTGGACACAAGTACAAATTACCGGTAGATGAATTTGGGTGATTTGATATTAAGTGAATGTGAAAGAAATTATTGCTAGATACACAAGATTCAATGATACCCTGGTTACAGTGATTGCTATAGGGAGCCATGGTGACTCAGTGAGTGATTGCTATAGGGAGCCATGGTGCCATGGTGACTTAGTGAGTGATTGCTATAGCGAGCCATGGTGGCTTAATGAGTAAGACTTTTGCTCACTAACTAGGAGACCTGAGGGTTCAACCCATTACCATTACCCCAGCCCTGGAGGGTTGATCCCGGTGTCATTGGTTGCCATCCAGTTTAAATACCAAAGTGGGGTTAGATGGCTGAATGGTTAGCCCCTGCGCTTTGTATCATAAGGTCTGTCATTGAGTCAACTGGCATGGTTTCAATTTTATTTCAATAATTTGCTTGTGTGTAGGGGTCTTTAGCAATGGCAGGAAACCGGAGGACCCGAAGAAAACCCACGAGATTGTACAGGCGACCCTACTCCTTGTCACGTACAATTGGGGAATCGAAACCGCGCCAGTTGACTCACTGACAGACCTTATGATACAGCACGCATGCGCTAACCATTTGGCCATCCAACCCCCCCACACCCACACACAATACTAAGGAGTCACATAATAATTTCTCTGGCATCAGGTGAATATAATTTTTTGATGTTGTTTTTTCAGGAGGATCTGTTGGTTTACATCATCATATTATCAATCATCCACGATCAATGACTGTTGGGTTAGGATCATCGTTTACATTAGTATGTGAAGTTTCTGGTAATCAGCCAGTACAATATATATGGTATCATAATCAGGAATTTTTCACAGAAACTAGTTTACCTTATTTAAAGGTAAGCTTTAAAAATAAAATAATGGATAAATGAGTCAGAACCTTGTGACATATTATTTTAGGAGCTGCCTTTCGAAACACAGTAGCTCTGTCTCCGAGTTCACGAAGCATTCTCAGACATAAGTTAATAATTTACTCAAAATTATTTTGACTAAAATATAGCCCTTTATAAAACTTTTGTTGTTTTAATGTATCAATTACATCATTAAGAATAAGAAACTATGTGCAAATCTTTGCGTTTCTAGATCAAAGCTATATCTGTTCAACAATGATTGAAAGTTGAGTAAATTCTGAACTTATGTCTGAGAATGCTTTGTGAACTCGGGGGGCCTGGTTCTTATTAAGGTAGAATGTTAGTGTAGATGTTCATTTGATGAATGTCTTGACAGAGTTTGATTATAAGCAGCTCTCCCTCAAATCAAGCATGATAAAAAGAACTATTTTCTTAGTAGCAACTTGCAATAGAGTAGTAATATGATCTTTGCGACCATATATTGTATCTTTCACTAATTAGTAGATTCACACTTTGTATAGAGTCATATCTCACGCATTCAAATTAAATTGACTGACAGGTTTATATATAAAAACAGTGATAATTTGGTAAAAACATTGGTTATGTCCTTTCCATTGTCCAAATATCCATCTTGTTTGGTAGACCAAATAGGTAATGTTCTCCTGGTCCTTGGGTTATGGAGATATTGATTCCATATTTGGGCAGGAAATTAACACCAAGGTCAGTCTATGACGTAAAGAAATTAGGGTGTTATGAAAGAGGGTGTTGAGCGAAATTCACTAGAGCTCACCCGGTTTGTCAGAGCAGCCATCAAAAGCTATATACACTTTATTGAGAACGAGGAACATTAATGTATGAACAACTTAACCAGTAGGAACATTGATGCCAAGCGGTTAATAATAAAGTTATATCAACAACTTAACCAGTAGGAACATTGATGCCAAGCGGTTAATAATTAAGTTACATCAACAACTTAACCTGTAGTTATATATACAATCATGACGAAAACACTACAAAGAAGTCTGGTATTATTACTATAGAAGTGCAGACAAATGAAATGAAATGAAATGGGGTTGAATGTCCTACTGTTCCCCTCAGATTAAGACGGGCATACGCCATACATTGTGCTATGAGGAAATTTTTGCCCGGACAGCGGCACTACAGCCTACTCTTATATCGAATTCCAACTGCCGAGGGATCTTTTACATGCACGCCAATGTGTACACGGGACCTCGGTTTTTCGTCCCATCCGAACAATTAGACAGCTGTCCTTGTCAGGCCCTCCGTCCTGCATCACTGACACAGGGGAACCACGCCGGAAAATCTTGATGAACTTTCTCGGCCAATGCAGGGATCGAACACCCGACCTCCAGGCAAGCGAGCCAGCGTCGAAGTGCAGACACAAAAGGTGAAAAATAAACCACTGACATAATTTGGACCAAGTCTGGGACAGTAAATCCCCCCAGTTCTTACTGTGGTATAATCAAGTGAAAACTCCTTAACAAAACAAAGAAAAGTCGGAACAAAAATGTTCGGAGGAAAATTTTAAGAATTTAGTACATGTTTTAGGTTTTAGAACCTTGTGAACCCTCAAGCGATGAAAATTATAATGTCATCTGTGTGAAATTGTCTATTAAATACCCCTAATACTACAAAAGAATAAATATGCGGCAACCCTTGTTGACCACTCGGAGAATTTACCTGCTGTGGGTGTATGTTTCGTTGCCTGGCAACCTATCTTTTGATATCATACAATTTCAGGTTGATAATGCTACAGAATATCATAATGGACATTTTCATTGCGTTGTTAAAAGCAGCTTTTTTGAAGTAAAAAGTAAAAAAGCCACATTAAGAGTAACTGTTCGTAAGTAATATGTTTGTTTAAAATGGTGCTGTATTTCAATGATTTTGGGGAGATGTCTACAGTTTTAGTTAATATCGTAATGATGATACCTACAGCAAAATTTCTATCTTGATTAGTGCTAGATACACAAGATTAAATGATACCTGTTACAGTGCATGTTATTGTACAATCTAGGTTAGTCACACATCGTCATTGTACTGGATTGGCAACACATTGTCTTCAGTCTTGATTAGTGATGCATCATCATTAATCTGGATTAACAACACATCGTCATTAATCTGGATTAGTCATCACGATTGTCTTCAGTCTTGTTTGGTCATATATTGTATTCCGTCTTGATTTTTATTGGTCACACATTGTCTCCAATCTTGATTGGTCACAAATCATCTTTAATCTTGATTGGTCATGTATCAACTTCAATCTTGAGTTTGATTCGTCTCACGTTGTCTTCAATCTTGATTCGTCACACGTTGTCCATTTTGTCCTAAATCTTGATATACCTTTAAAGTATTCCTACTGTCTGTTTCTAACATTTTCTTGGGTTTATTTTTCAGATCACAACTCAATATCAAAAGCTAGTATGTATATTTTTACTTTCTTTTATATGATGTATTTTTCTTATCGATGTCAGGGAGTCACGATGGCTAAGTGGGTAAAGCGCTGGCTCACTAGCCTGGAGGTCGGGTGTTCGATCCCTGCATTGGCCGAGAAAGTTCATCAGGTTTCCCCCTTGTCAGTTTTGCAGGACGGAGGGCCTGACAAGGACAGTTGTCTAGTCATTCGGATGAGACGAAAAACCGAGATATAAGAGTAGGCCATAGTGCCACTGCCCAGAAAAATTTCCCTCATAGCACACTGTATGGTGCAGAACAATAGGACTTGAAACCCTATTTCATTTTATTATTAATTCAAATAAAGCTTTCCAGATTGGATTACTTTCACCTATATCTTTGTTTTTTTTAGGATAAATTTATCGGAGGAGAACTAATTTGAGCTTTAGAGTTAAATATCTATCTCGTTATAGCTCTTATTTTCTACTGCGCAAAATCTAAAATATATTCAGACTGAAAGATGTTTAGGTCGTGAAGCATTTCTGCATAAAAAGTAAATTTTTCAAAAAATGTATAAAACAACCAGATCATTCTGATTAAAACACAGATCCTATTTCGTTTCGTTTTTTATAGTTCAAAATTTCATTTTACTTGTCTTTACTACACTAGGATCTGGAAGAGTTGTTATATAACCAGCGTTCTGGTTGATGTGAGTTATTAGTCAATTAAGTGGTCTGTTATGTATAGTTTTTGACGTGAGGTGCACGGAACTGTGGGCAACCCACTAGAAACATCAAGACGGATTGGTTAATGAAATGTCTGATGTCATAGGGTCAAAAGCCGCTCATATGACCTCTGACGGGATCTCCCACTACAAATGGTCAATTCTTAATGTAGTGTAGGCCATCAAAAGCCGCTCATACAACCCCTGACGCAACCTTCCACTACAACCTGTCAGATCTTCATTTAGTAGAGGCCATCAAAAGTTTTAAAAAAAATGAAACGAAATATAGATCTGTATTGTAATCAGATTGAAACCAGATATAATTCAATTAAAGAAGGAAACAGACAACAATATGTTACATGTTTTGGTTTTTTTTTCGTTCTTCAGTTTCTCCTGAAATTATAACACAGCCTAAATCTTGTATTGTTGCTATGGGTGGTGTAGCACTGTTTTGTTGTGAAGCAATGGGATCTCGACCAATAAACTACCAATGGTTTAAAGATAGTGAACTTTTACCAGGTAAACAAAACGACTCATTAGGCCACACCCATTTTAATGTTACAATGCTAGCTTGGAGGTTGCGTGTTCGAACCCTGAATTGGCCGAGAAAGTTCATCATGGTTTTCTGATGTGGTTTCCTATTGTCAATGGTGCAGGGCAGAGATGGTTCGGATGGAACGAAAAACCAAGATGCAGTTGGAATTCAATATAAAAGTAGGCCATAGTGCTGCTACCCGGGCAAAAACCCCATTTAATTTCATTTTATTTGCCATGGCCTAACACTGAGAACTGCTAAAGGGTGAAACTGTGCACAGCCACCATATATTTCTCAGTCATGGTTGTTATTTGTACGTGTATCGAAAGAAAATTAATTTTCCGACTATTACTCGGTATTACCGCGTTAAAACTGTAAATAAGGTGTGTTAATTAACAAGGGTGAAAAACTGTCTGAGAGGTGAGTTAATTAACGCTAGGGGTGAAAAACTGTGCGACAGTGCGTTTTCAGTAGGGGTGTGTTAATTAACCGAACGGTAAAACTTGAATGTCAATGTTGTGTATTGTCTAATTGGCGTGTTTTCTCGCTAGTTGCGATAACTGCATCAAAAGGAGTATAATCAAGGACCAACAGGTTTTATCTGACACGTACGTGTTAAATCAAAATTTGGGAAGTAAAACTGTTTTACCGTGCGATTTATCATTCGACCATGTGTTTTACGCAGGTCTTTGTATAATTAAAGACGGGTCTTTAGACAGGCGTGTGTGCTCGCTATGATCTACGTTTCTCTTATGTGTCTTTTGTATTGCGTACCATATATATAAAGTTGAATTTAATGAAATAAAAATACGGACCTTAATCTATCGTATACGGAAAGGCGAATGTAATGTCGTCATTTATAAATACCCAGCAGTCAGCGCCCAATTTGAATATCCACGGGAATATAGAGAGTAAAAACAACAGAAATATATTTCTGCTTTATTACTAAAAAGACGTGCACTCACCGTTTGACATTTATTAAATTTATAAAACATGCCACGTTGCGTAAATTGTGCATCTTACCTTCAATAGAATATCCATAAAACACAAATCTCCATATTGATAAATAATACGGCACAACCAACCGAACAGTGATAATTTCCACACAAATGATATATATAAAATCTAAAATTACTTTAGCTTTTCACTAAATTTACATCGCATACAATCCAACGATCCTCATTCCAGAACTTGTAATTTATAATATATTTAAACTAAAATTGCTTTAGCTTTTCACTAAATTTACATCGCATACAATCCAACGATCCTCATTCCAGAACTTGTAATTTATAATAGCCGCTTTTATGCAATTACAGAATTGTCCCGTGATCTAACATATCAAAGAAGCACATACGCCCGAAATGACACGTATTGTACGTTTTTATAATGGCTAGCAAATAATTTATGATATCTGAATAAAAGCGAACGACATGTTTATATGTAAAAAAAGAAAACAGTGATATTTTGGTAAAATCCTAACCATTGTAAAAATATCCATCAAATTCTATCTGTTTATGACATATGGTTGGTAGACCAAATAAGGTAATGTTCTCCCCCCCTGGTCTTGGGAAGGTTTATTCCATATTTTGGATTGAAATTAAAGTCAAGGTCAGTCTAGGACGTGCAGAAATTAGGGGGTTTTAAAAGAGGGTGTTGAGTGAGACTGATCAGAGCTCACCCAGGTATTCCGAGCAGCTATCATTTATAGAGAACGAGGGACCTTTGAAGCCAATCCAGCTTAATAATATTTAAAGTTGAAGAATTCATTTAACCTGTAGTTTTATATATTAGGATCATGAAGAAAACACAACAAGGAAGTCCAATCTACAAAGTCTCGAAAAATGATTACGTGTCATTTCGGGCGTATGTGCTTCTTTGATATGTTAGATCACAGGACAATTCTGTAATTGCATAAAAGCGGCTATTATAAATTACAAGTTCTGGAATGAGGATCGTTGGATTGTATGCGATGTAAATTTAGTGAAAAGCTAAAGTAATTTTAGATTTTATATATATCATTTGTGTAGAAATTATCACTGTTCGGTTGGTAGTGCCGTATTATTTATCAATATGGAGATTTCTGTTTTATGGATATTGCTATTGAAGGTAAGATGCACAATTTACCAACGTGGCACGTTTTTATAAATTTAATAAATGTCAAACGGTGAGTGCGCGTCTTTTTAGTAATAAAGCAGAAATATATTTCTGTGGTTTTTGCTGGATTTACTCTCTATATTCCCGTGGATATTTAAATTGGGCGCTGACTGGGTATTTATAAATGACGACATTACATTCGCCTTTCCGTATACGATAGATTAAGGTCCGTATTTTTATTTCATTAAATTCAACTTTATATATATGGTACGCAATACAAAAGACACATAAGAGAAACGTAGATCATAGCGAGCACACACGCCTGTCTAAAGACCTGTCTTTAATTATACAAAGACCTGCGTAAAACACCCGGTCGAATGATAAATCGCACGGTAAAACAGTTTTACTTCCCAAATTTTGATTTAACACGTACGTGTCAGATAAAACCTGTTGGTCCTTGATTATACTCCTTTTGATGCAGTTATCGCAACTAGCGAGAAAACACGCCAATTAAACAATACACAACATTGACATTCATTTTTTACCGTTCGGTTATTAACACACCTCTACTTAAAACGCACTGTCGCACAGTTTTTCACCCCTAGCGTTAATTAACTCACCTCTCAGACAGTTTTTCACCCTTGTTAATTAACACACTTTATTTACAGTTTTAACGCGGTAATACCGAGTAATAGTCGGAAAATTAATTTTCTTTCGATACACGTACAAATAACAACCATAACTGAGAAATATATGGTGGCTGTGCACAGTTTCACCCTTTAGCAGTTCTCAGTGTAATAGCAGTGTATGCTCTAAACAAGCAAATAGCATTTTGATTGATGCAAATCTGACTCTTTGTTAATGAAGCATTTTCTATTTTAAACCATGTGTGGATGTTTATCTCTGCGTATTGTTTAGTGCAGTGACATAGTAGCAGTATATGATTTAATGAACTAGCATGCAGCATTATTTCTTTATTATTTAACAAAGCATCTTCTAATTTATTTCACAAGAAATTAGAAATCAGAGAGAGAAAAGGATGGGTCAATTTTATTTCAATAATTCGCTTGCGTGTAGAGGTATTTAGCAGTGGGAGGAAACCGGAGGACCCGGAGAAAAACCACAAGGTTAAACAGGCAACCTTACTCTTTGTCACGTACAACCGGGGAATCAAAATCATGCCAGTTGACTCAATACACTTACAGTTGACTTATAATACACTGCGCTCACGTGAGGACCAGGGCTGCCGACAACCAGTATCGCAGCGCAATTTGCGATACATATTTTGTCCGTTGCTAATCAAAAATTAAAATCTAACGTTTTTGATTCGCAGTAACTGCAAATCAATAATATGCCTGTCATTTTGGATATTGACTCAACGATTTATCCACATTCCTCAACACTTTCAACGCGTATAAAATATCAAATAAATTTTATAAACAAAACAGAATTCCTCGTGTGACATTTTCTTCTCGAACTACCCAGACTCAATTCATGATACTATATAATACAGGGACATAACTCTATGAATCGGGACTATTAAACCGGAAATCGGGAATCAAGTAGTACCACTCACGTTGCGAGACATGTCAATTTCGAGTAATTATATCAGTATTCAATTTGAAAAAAAATAAATTCAGTGTATCCCCCACGTATTGTAAATAAAATATAAAAAATAAATACGTGTAAAAGTATTGTAAAGTGAGAAATCAAAGTAAGAATTCCCGTAAACTATTATTGTTTATATCGCGTGCGTCTAGTTAATCGAGATTATTCGTAAAATACCGCGTGCTTCCGATTGAACAAAAATAATAACACACGATAAAAAGCAGACGAAATTGTTTTCTAACGAAGAAATAAGAAGCCACTGCCAAGAATTGGCTTCAGACATAAGGCCTAACAAAAGTCTACATTCATTCAGAAATGTTCACAGCTAGCTGTAGAAGTGCTAACATTCTAAAAAAATCTTAAGAATGAAATCTAATCATTTGCTATCAATTAAAATTAAAATAATCTTGTTATTTAGGTGTTTTATGTTGATTTGAAACTGAAAAACTGCTAATCAATTTTTAAATTTGCTAATCAAATTTGGCAAAATTGGACTTTTTGATTAGCAAAATCATCTGTGAAAAATTACCGACAGCCCTGGTGAGGACCAGATTTCTTTTTTGTACCAAGTTATAAAAATGATTTATTTTTTTGTTTTGATATTTTTAACAGGAAGTATTACAAGTGAATATAAGATACGTAATATAACGAGTGTACAACAGGAAGGTTTATATCAATGTCTCATATCTAACGCATACGCTTCAAAATTATCTCAAGGGGCATTCTTAAAGATTAATTCATGTTTAAATGAACCAGTTATCTCCCCTCATTATACAGGTAAGCAAAGGCTAAATCTATTTGTTAAGGCCAGCTCAAATTTTGTCAAAGTCGTTGAGATGTAAATAAGGTTAGGACTAGTGATTGTTGGCGAGATTGTAGGATAAGTTTAGTATAAGCATTGGAGCTAAGTTAAAGTAGCTAAGTCTCTAACTCAATATCATTTAAAGTCTTACACGTTGAAAATACGAATTATTTGTCAATTCAAATCAACATTGATGTTGTGATCTTACCAGGAAAAGACAGGCTTCTGATATCCAATATTTAAAACAAAATAAACATTTTACCATTGGTACACGAATCGTGTACCATAGTGCATTTTAGCGTCATTTGCAACAAGTGACCAGAAAGAACGAGGCTAGAAATATTCAACTGGAGAGCCTGCTCAATAGACTGGAATAACCAGATGCTAGAAATTGCTGTAGGGTTGAGACACATGCCGTATTTCGCTGGACATAACTGATTTGAAATTAAGAGCCAAAACGGAAACAACAGAATGTAAATCAGTTTATATACAATCAGATTACATTATTATATGCGTTGCGACCCATTTGGGTCAATTTCTAGGTCCAAAATATTAGCGATTTAGCTCCTTTAAGGATTAGGGTTGGGAATATGTTCCTGTAGCAAAGACTGCGAGTTTTACAACATCTAGCATGACAAGATGTACGTAGTTAAGGCGAGATCAAGCCATCTATTGAAAATGGATTGAGATTAGCACTAGCTCTGTTTACATCTCGTGACCTATGACGAAAAATTGAGCTGGCCTTATCATTTAGCACTAACCAGTAAGCAAATGGCTTGTTTACCCAGGAGAGGCACAGTGGCTCAAGTGAGTAAGATGCTGGCGTGCTTACCAGGAGATCTTGGGTTAGCTTCCGGTGTTAGATTTTCCAGCATAGTTTTCTCTTGTCAGTAATACAGAATGTAGGACCTGGCAAGGACAGTTTCTAGTTGTTGGAATGGATTGAAAAACTGAGATCCCATGTACACATTGACGTGCACGTTAAAGACCCATTGACAGGCAAAATTTCCCTCATTTCACGCTCTATTACGTAAGCCTGTCTCCATTCGCACAGATGCTACAATACAGACATGTAGGAAGTTAAATTTATTTCATTTGATGTCATTTCCTCCATTCCAATGGCTTCCTAGATAGGGGTTGAGGTCTCGAGTCATTGTTTACAAACGTTAGTTCCACGGGCTTCCTAGATGCATGTACCGGTGAGGACTCGAGGTATTGTTTACAAACGTTAGTTCCACGGGCTTCCTAGATGCATGTACCGGTGAGGACTCGAGGTATTGTTTACAAACGTTAGTTCCACTGGCTTCCTAGATGCATGTACCGGTGAGGACTCGAGGTATTGTTTACAAACGTTAGTTCCACGGGCTTCCTAGATGCATGTACCGGTAAGGAGTCGAGGTATTGTTTACAAACGTTAGTTCCACGGGCTTCCTAGATGCATGTACCGGTGAGGACTCGAGGTATTGTTTACAAACGTTAGTTCCACGGGCTTCCTAGATGCATGTACCGGTGAGGACTCGAGGTATTGTTTACAAACAATAGTTCCAGTGGCTCTTAGATACATGTAGTGGTGAGGACTCGAGGTATTGTTTACAAACAATAATTCCAGTGGCTCTTAGATACATGTAGTGGTGAGGTCGCGAGGCATTGTTTAAAAACAATAGTTCCAGTGGCTCTTAGATACATGTAGTGGTGAGGACTCGAGGTATTGTTTACAAACAATAGTTCCAGTGGCTCTTAGATACATGTAGTGGTGAGGACTCGAGGCATTGTTTAAAAACAATAGTTCCAGTGGCTCTTAGATACATGTAGTGGTGAGGTCGCGAGGCATTGTTTAAAAACAATAGTTCCAGTGGCTCTTAGATACATGTAGTGGTGAGGACTTGGAGCATTATTTACAAACAATAGTTTTACTCCCTGAAAACCACAAACAATCCTATGGACAGGGAATATACAAACTAATTAAAACACAGATCCTATTTCATTTCGTTTTTTATAGTTCAAAATTTCGTTTTACTTGTCTTTACTACACTAGGATCTGGAAGAGTTGTTATATAACCCGCGTTCTGGTTAATGTGAGGGATTAGCCAATGAAACGGTCTGTTACGGCGAGTTCTTGGCATGCTGTGCATGGAACTGTGGGTAACCCACTAGACACATTAATACTGATTTGTTAATCAAATGTCTGACATCATAGAGTCAACAGCCGCTTGTATGACCCCTGACGTGACCTTCCACTATATTCTCTTCTTTCTTGAGTTGCTTCCCTTATTGTTTTTTTCATCTTGAGTGAAGTCTGTATGACTACAGACTCGGGACTGTACAGCGCAGTGATTGCTTACAGCTAGCCCCCAGATCTGTTCACTTGGTTTGATATGTGCGTTTGATGACTGGGGTGTGTGTATATTGTGTCCTGTCTTGTGTAATTGTTTGTGTGTGGTGCAGTCCCCCTGCACTTTATATTTAAACAAGAAAAGTATTTATTGTCAGTCTGTTAAACTGCACCTTTAAATATGAATAATAATATTTATATATTTATTTGTTACAGCTGCTGATAAAGTTGCGTTGTTAATAGGTAACTACGAGTACAGGTGTGAAAATAGGCTCAACGCTCCAAAAGCAGACATTTCAAATTTGTCGGAGATTTTCTGCAATTTAAACTTCAAAGTTGTGTCGTTATTAAATTTAACATTGATTGAGATGAAGAATGCTGTAGACAATTTCTGTGAATTGCTGGGTCCTGGTGTTTATGGGGTTTTCTATTTTTGCGGTCACGGTTTTGAGGAGAATAAGAGTTGTTATCTGGTTCCGGAAGACGCACCAACTGGTTATGTGAATAGTCATTGTCTGTGTGTTGACTACGTTCAAAACAAGATGCAGAAACAAGGAACAGAAGTGTCATGCTTAATTCTCGACGTCTGTCGTACTGCGTAAGTATGAATAAATTTATTGGCATAACAAAACTGGCCTTAATATGTAACAATCAAGTAGAATTTACTCAACTTTTAATCACTGTTTATGAAAAATGTCTTTGATCCAGAAACACAAAAATTTGCACATAGTTTCTTATTGATACAATTGATACATTAAAACAACAAAAGTTTTATATTATAAAGGGCTATATTTTGGTTAAAATAAGACAAACAATTTTGAGTAAATTCTTAACTTAAAGTAGCTAAGTCTCTAACTCAATATCGTCCAAAGTCTTACACGTTGAAAATACGAATTATTTGTCAATTCAAATCAACATTGATGTTGTGATCTTACCAGGAAAAGACGGGCTTCTGATATCCAATATTTAAGACAAAATAAACATTTTACCATTGGTACACGAATCGTGTTTTAGCGTCATTTGCAACAAGTGACCATAAAGAACGAGGCTAGACATATTCAACTGAGAAGCCGGCTCAATAGACTGGAATAACCAGACGCTAGAAATTGCTATAGGGTTGAGACACATGCCGTATTTCCCTGGACATAACTGATTTGAAATTAAGAGTCAAAACGGAAACAATTGAATGTAAATCAGTTTATATACAATCAGATTACATTATTATATACGTTGCGACCCATTTGGGTCAATTTCTAGGTCCCAAATATTAGCGATTTAGCTCCTTTAAACATCAATATATCGATTCAATTTTCGGTTTTCAAAATGGTCGATTAGTAATTGTTCTTTTATCATAATTTATTTCAGGAATAAAGTTAGTTGTGTACCTGAATATATATCAATGGAACCGTCAATAAATACTATAAACTGTTATGCTACGTAAGTTACTACACAGACAAGTAAACAATCTATTTTTATCACATAGCACATCAATCAGAGAGATAGCGAGAGAAATAGCATTTAACGTCCGCTCGAAACAAACTAGGTCATTTCGGGACTAACATATGATTCAATTTTGTTTCAATAATTCACTTGCGCATAGGGGTCCTTAGCAGTGGGAGGAAACCGGAGGACCCGGAGAAAACCCACGAGGTTGGACATGCGACCCTACTCCTTGTCCCATACAACCATGGGGTTTAGCATCCTACTGTTCTGCTCCAACTGGGATAATGAAGACGGGCCTCGATTTTTCATCCCTTCTAAACGACTAATATTTTCCCATGTCAGGCCGTCTGTCCTGCACTACTGACAAGGGGAAACCACACTGGAGAATCCTGATGAACTTTCTTGCACGGAAACTCCAGGTTAGCAAGCCCATATTTTACTAAGTTTTAATGGCTCCCGTCTTCAGTAAGAAAATAAATACATTTTGTTTGGATACTGATCTCTTATGTACACATATTGCATGTAAATAAAACTGTCACTGTTGGAACTCAAAAAAAACCGAGTTGCCAGAAATGTTTCTGTCTGGACAAAATTTGATCGGTTTCCTTAGCATAGGTAGAATGAGAAAATAAAATCTGCTTGAATTTTGACAGAACCTATTTGTAAGTCACCGTAGTCATTAAATGTCTGTTATGTTTTTAGCTCTCCAAATTGAATCATTTTTGTGTTACCATGGAATTAATTAATTTATTATTGTTTAACAGGAGCTGTGGACAGTTAGCATTTGAGAACGCTAACAATGGACTGTTAGTTCTATCCCTACAGAAGTTTCTCTACACTAGAATAAGTATAGAAGAGGTGTTTGCTAAAGTAAGACAAGGTAATGAGATGAGATGAAATACATCTCTCATTAAAACAGCCCGTTTATTGTACCATAAATAATGGTAGTTCTAGACACCATGCTGTTTCGAGAAAGATCTATTCGATGCTCAATTGTCAGTCCGGAAGGTTCCCAATTGACGCAATTTCAAATGATTGACACAGAATTCAGTCCTGTCACAGTTCTGTCAGCCCCGACAACAGAGGTGAAGTGAGTAGAATCGTGACGTAATTAAGCATAATGTATATGTTTCCGCTGTCATGGTTGGTTGAGATATTTACTTATTTAGTCGACACATGCGTTCTATCCCCAAATCCCCATTTTCACTCGATTGTTTAGGGTTTGATAGAATTCAATTCCGGAATGTTCAATCGAGCATTGCCCTAGTATCAACAAAGTCCTTTAATTTGACATAAGACTAATTGGTGACTAGTCTCGGTCACCCAGAACCTCTGAGTCTTCAACATACGGAGGGTCTGGGACGATTGTGTCAATATTTAAACAAAAGTTCCATTGCCCATGCGTTACCTGGAGTTTGGTTTTTTTATGTGGTTGATTATCCAGTATCTTTGGCCAAGTCAAGTAAGAGTTGCAAGCCTTCCCTCAATAAATCCCATAATTCTTGCATTATTATAAACAACCATGAATCGGGACGACGAATTAGGATTAATTAAAAAAACATAGATTTGGCCCACGAAGAGAGAAATTTTACGATAAAAAAAATTAAAGAGTGTTGGATATTGAACTGGCAATGCAATTAATTGGATTTTCTGAAATGGTATTCTTAAATTAATTTCATGGGCGTCAACATCTTGTTTTAGGACTAGTTACCTCCCTTAGACTTTGTTTATGATAATGTAAAAGACCGGATAATCTAGCCAATGACCTATTATTCTCAAATGTTGACAATGCATCCAGGCTAATATTCGTAGAATGTTTTTCTAGATGATAGAGACTAATTGGTCATATACATTCAAATTTGGGTATAACTTTATTTTTCATACGTTTAAAACTAAAGAAGCTATATATCTTTCAAATCAATATATATATTTATTTTTCTGTATTTCAATATCAATTGACTTCATTAAATCAATATTGTAGCACAAATCAGAAATTTCCTGGGTTCTGTTGGTCGAAAAGTGTGGTCGAATGGACAGTAAACCCCCTCTAAATTATCAAGGCAAATTACTGCGTATAAATATAGCTATCATGTCTCATGTTCTAATGATTCAAGCATGGTTAAATGGACAATAAACCCCTCTAAATTCAAAACAGAACATGTTTATACCTACCGGTAGTAGACCCAAATCAGTTCATGTAGCTGTGAAAAACTATTTGCATAATTTTGTGAACGCTACACAAAGGGAGTTAAAATTAATTCTGTTTCAGATTTGGAGATAACCGGGTAAGTAGAATGAGATTAATACAGAAAATAAATTTGAGAATTTAACGTATTCTATTTTTTTATTTTAAGATTTCGGAATAGGTAGTAATATTTTCCCGAAAGGTAAAATTCAGAACCCGGAAGTGAAATCGAACTTGAGGCATCCTGGCCGTTCTTTCTGTGACGAGATACAATATACAGGCCATACACAAGCCTATACCAGACGACAGTTAGACTGGGAGAGATGTCTATGTTAGTATATACCTTCTAAACAATATGATTAAAACACAGATCCTATTTCCTTTCATTTTTTATAGTTCAAAATTTCGTTTTACTTGTCTTTACTACACTAGGATCTGAAAGAGTTGTTATATAGACCGCAATCTGGATGATGTGAGGGATTAGCTATTGTTATGGCAAGTTTTTGGTGTGCTATGCACAAAACTGTGGATATCCTACTAGAAACATCCACACTGATTGGTCAATTAAATGTCTGATGTCATAGGGTCATACGTCCCTGTGACATGACCTTCCACTACAACCAGTCAGATCTTAATGTAGTGTAGCCATCGAAAGTATAAAAAACGAAACGAAACGAAATATAGATGTGTTTTATTCAGATTGGAGATATGTCAATGGTAACTTTTTTAACATAGCCAAAATTATGTTATTACACTGACTGGGCAACCATAGTAACATATGAGTAGTGTATGAGCTAGGATAGCAATATCAGATTCACTGGTTGGCATTCTCTAACAGTTATAACAGTTATTTGTTGCTTAGTCAATGATATCAAGGGAGCCACGGTGGCTAGGTGGTTAAGAAGCTGGCTCGCTAGCCTGGAGGTTGGGTGTTCGATCCCTGCATTGGCCGAGAAAGTTCATCCAGATTTTCCGACATGGTTTCCCCTTGTCAGTAGTGCAGAACGGAGGGCCTGACAAGGACAGCTGTCTAGTCCTTCGGATGAGACGAAAAACCAAGGTCCCGTGTATACATTGGAATGCATGTAAAAGATCCCTTGGCAGTTGGAATTCGATATAAGAGTAGACGATAGTGCCGCTGCCCGGGCAAAATTTCCCTCATAGCACACTGTATGGCGTATGCCCGTCTTCATTAGCCCAGTATTGGAGCCGAACAGTAGGACGTTAAACTCCATTTCATTTAATTTCATTTCATTTCAATGATATCAACATTACAGTGAATTGACAAAACAAAACAATGTATTAGAAAGTTGGTTCTTTTGATGGTAGTTTTTATCTTGTGAATTATATGATTCCAGTGAAACCAGATGATACAGAATTCTTCGCAAATCCACAACAACTTAGAATTCTTCTACAGCTTAATTATCATACAGAATTTTCCAATGTTTTAACAGTTTTTATAACGGTGAAGGATCCCGGGATTACTCAGAACTGTATAGCTTATATTGGTAAACATCCAAACGTAAGTTATTATACTGTGTCTGCTATTTATACATCACTCGCAAGCGCCTACCACACACCTGAGTGTCGACCAAGGAGAGGTTTGTCTTCCTCACCTTAAAATTGAAAATCGCTCTCCTTATTTGTAAATCAGTCCCGGAATGACCTAGTTTGTTTCAAGTGGATGTTAAACCCTCTCCCTCTCCCTCTCTCTCTCCCTGCTTTAGATCACTAGGTCTGTAAAGTGTCCTGGTTTCAAGCAAAGGAGTAGGGCTTTACATGTACCTTGTGGACTTTCTTAGAGTCCTCCAGTACCCTTCCACTATTAAAGAATGAAGAAAATTACTGAGCTAAAGGTATGTCGAATGGATATTAAATTCTCTCTTTTTTTGTACCTGTACCTGAATTGTCATTTCAGACTATCTCTTTGATGGGAGATCCGACTGAAGTAACCTGTGATGGAACTTATAGAAA